AAGCCATAGTCCTGGATTGAAATTGGTGAGGTCCCGCACGCGGCGGCTCCACATACATAGCTACAGATTACCATGTGTTCGAGAGGCTTCCATGAAAGTCCCCTTTTTTCGAGCGCTGCGCGCATACACGAAAATTGAATGAAAATTTTGATACCTTTCTCCTGGAAAAACGCCTTATGGTGGATCGGCTGGGGTTACTGAGGGCTTTAAGTTCTTCCTGAGAACGTCAAAGAAGCATGCTTCGTCAACCGTGTATCCGCTCTGTGCTCGTGCCGCTTCAGAAGCGAAGTCTGGCGCTGTCCTTCGGACGTTAAACGCTAGTGTGCCTTAGGTACTTTTGGCCCAATCGCGACGAACATCAGGAAGAATATCGGGATACCTGCGACGATACCACATCAGGCAGCTTATATGGGCCTACATTAGGAAACATACGGCCGCTGGCGATGCCGAACGTAGGAGTACGCGCAGCGAATATTAGTCGCAACAGTCTCGGCTTTCTTGTTCGTTGCAGATGTATTACTGCAAAGATAGATCTAACTTCTTGTGCAGGGTAAAGGTCACAAAAGCGGAAACCTTCACGTATCCAAATGCCGGATATAGCTGCATTAAGCAAATTCGCGGAAATTATTTCCATTCAGGAAAATATTGCTTCTACAAACTCAGCTTATCACATATGAGTTATCAATAAACATGAGACAGGTAGGTCCTTTTTTTGACTTTGAGATTTTGCGACTAAGCAATCCGGGTTACTCGTTTGGGCCAATGCAGAAGGTCAATCTGGAATAATGCCTGACTTATTATGTTTACTAGTGCTATCTATCTAAGTTTTTTTCGCATATGGCAGAGTATATAGCAAGTCAATTTGACTTGTTTGTGCTTAAGAGATCAATATAAAAACTGCTCAAGTTTACCAAGTGTTTCTGTCGTTGGTGGTTCGAATCTCCCGAAGCCCTCTTTTCCGAACGAAGACCTTTTGTAAATAAACCGAATCTGGTAGCACATGGTATTAGCAATGCAAATAGTCGTTGTTTTTTCATTGGCGTTTACTGATTAACATATGCGTCAGTACATGACTATATTGTCTGAGAATTTAGGCAGGCCATCGGCACTAACTGGCCGAAGCCCTTTCTCTATGCGACCAGAAACCTAATAGTGGTTGCAGAAAAACATCTAAACTATTAATAGACCCAATCGGTGCAAGAGCGTTTATGATTTTATACAAAGCTCAAACTGTAACTCTAGCAGTTCTTCAAATGTAGCATCCTGTAATTATATGCAAAATGTCCTTATAAGCTATTTACCAGATGCTGAACTTTAAAAACATTTGAGCGGGTGATTAGTAATTTTCAAGAGCTTTGAAAAGTGAGTTCCGTCCTTGTTTCGCTTCTCGGCGAAACGAGAATGCAATATTAAAAAGGTGGAACAATGCCCTGTAGGCCAGATGCACACAAAAGTCAACGTCGAGGTCGCAAGTGATATCGACAACTTCATGACGGAACATAGAGCTTTGAAGGCGACTCTTGTCCTTCTTAACCTGCCACAATACATGCGGCTGAAAACGTGGAAGAAGGAAAATAACTCATGTTAGGGCACTAACTGATCATCCCCAGAGATCCTGTAATAATTAGCCATTTCACACAAATCATATCAGACTACCTTGAAATATTATTTAGAGGCAAAGAGGCCCACAATAAATACTGTGTTGAAATAGCCGTATTTCGAGAAAATGCAGACCTGTCGGCGACTGTTCTGGGAGAACCTTGGCACAATGAAAAAGGACCCAAATTTGCTCTAGTACGTTATTTTACTTGACGAGACGCAGGTGCGTGCGTGGGCTGATCGAGCGAACGCGCCATCATCTGGGTATTTAAAAGCGACCCTAAAACTTAATGTGAAAACCAAGCTTTTATTAATCGTTTTTTGGACTATCTATCTAGAGGTATTGTGTCATGAATTAATTCTGACTTATTTTACTATAGATGCTGAGTCCTGGAAAAAAGGTTAAGACGATTACGAAAATTATATAATACTGCCCGTCTAGGTAGGGCCGAATTCCAAAAAAACAAGTCATGGACGCTTTACCGTGACCTCACCCTTCGTGTACAACCTCACACTTCGTTAGTTGTATAGTTCTTTTGCGGAATAGGTTGAGGTCCGTATCGCCTCAATCCTCCCCTTTCAAAGCTGCCTGCATTGTTTTGATATCCTTAAATTTAAAGGACACTTGAACGAAAAAAAATTCAGACGATCAACAAAATCCAAAAATAGAGCCCAAAATTTTAGATTTATCTGTGCAATCGGTATAGCTTACACAGTAAGTTTGTACCGAGTTACGATACGTTCTTAATTCAGTAGTTATTTGCCTACATCGCGTTCTAACTGGAGTATGGAAAAATATTTAGATAGCAAATCGGAGAGGCACATAACCATTAACGCCTAGCTAGATTAGGGCAATATATTAGTAATTAGTATTTTGATTCAATGTATTGCATTATTCTATGGCTGCGGGAGGGCCCCGTAAAATTTATGCCAACATTTCTATATAATATTTGAATTATCTTTGTTACAGAGCGACATAAGAGGGGACATTTTTCGTCAGCGAAAGTGACTCCGTAGGCTCTATCCGCAGTTCGTTAGCTAACCTTTGTGATAGGTCCGATTCGACAATAGTTACGCGGGAAAAACTTGCAAACCTGACTCATTAACACGGAAGCAGTCGATCCCTATCTTATCTAAGTTCTTTACTCTAAAACTTTACTCTCAATTCAAGCCACGCTCGTAGTGATTGGCGAAATTACATAATGGAATTGTTATTTATCTGTCGTTTACAAAGTTTTTTACTGTCATTTTAATGTGTCGGGCGTGTTACGTAAAAGTACCTGCAATAATTTGCAGCACGATATGTTATCTCGTTGTCGTCGTCGAATGCGAAGGGATCTCGATCATATGTATGCTTCGTTACCTATGCGCTTGTTAATAAACTTTGAAGAACGATGTCTGAAAATGTCCCATGTTTCTAGAGTATTCATAGCAGGTCCTCGTAGCTTCACGTAACCGAATCTACTTCATGCTGGCCGCGAGTGCATCAAGGCTTTTAAAGCAACCTTTCATATTGTGTTGTATAACTCGTGCTGGCTAACAAGTGGCATTCATTCAATAGATATTATTACTATATAGACGAAATGAAACGAGTCTGCAGAAAATTGGAAAAAAAAAAAAAATGAATAGGATGACGTGCTGTGCACACAAAAAAATAACATGAGTTCATGAGCGTTAAGTTTGAAAAGAGAAGTGTGCCTTGTGAACTGTTCCAGCCGTGCTGTTTTTGCAGATGTTCGGTATTCGCTCTAGCTATATGATAGGCAGCTCTAGCAATGGCTGGTAAGACAAGCACCACTTACTGGTAAACAGATTGAAAACAGGAAATCGCTTCGACCCGAACCCGAGTCAAATGTTTCATCTCAGCTCTTTTAGATCACTGGATTTTCGTATGGAAACCTTGTATCACCAATTAGCAATACAAACGCTCCTTCGATGAAGCCTATTGATAGGGAATATTTGCACATCGATCTTCAGAATAATCGTACTGCAAACTTATTACCTGCCTTCAGGTAATTTTACCAAACAGGCTCAGTTTGAATGATGCTAGACGATAGACCCCTTTGGTAACAAGCCAAATATAATAGTAGCTGACCTCTTATGATTCATTATGTGATTTTTTGTGTATTAAGTGCCACACCACTTCCCAGGCCTTCCTTTATTTAATTAATCTTTGTATTTTTACATTTTGCTATTAAAGAGAGTGTGAGCTACTCTAATAAATAACTAAGAACGACTCACTGCTTTATGTATATATCTTTACTTTAACATAACTTACGTTTATGTATACATATTTTACCTCTCCCTGTTGCCGCTGTAAGGTGGCCCGACCGTCCGATTCGAGATGGGCCAAAGTTAGCGCATATTTCTTTCATTCGTCAATGAATGCCAATGCACTTCTCCTGATCTTATTAAATCGATCAGATCTCCAAACCAAAAAAAGACGTGGAATACAATCGGTGTGTCAGTGATTTCTAGGTCGAGCCAAAGTGTGTATTAATCTCATACGCACGTACAATGCGGGATGATGTTTTTCAGGTAGATTGGTCGAAGGATTTCTATAATACTGCCGGACTGAAGATGTGTTTGGAAAATACTACTGCGTTAAACAAACACGACAAGCTGAATTGGAAGATATCGGAAATGACCACTGTAACATTTCAACTAATACTATACTTGATCGATCGAGAAACAGAGAATCATTTAACATAGAAGCTTGAAAGGCCTGCTTAGGCCAAATATAATTGACGTCACAGAACGTTTGCAGACCGACACAAAGTCTGCCACTGCGCCCTCTCATAGTGGGGTGACTGGGGCAGCTTGTCAGACTGCAAAATAAGAGCTGTCGGAATTCTCCAACACGCCGCTGTCCTTTGTTTATTGGTCAGCCGTTACGACAGTTACAGTTATTGCTGCCTGTTACAGCACTGCGGGAAACTTTCGTACCGCTAGTACAAGCGATCATTTCGTCCGCAAATCTGCTGTAAAGAAAACTGCCTTCGACCGCCGTATGGCCGGAGACCTGCGAAATTCTGTGCCTGCTTTCGCGTCTCTATTGGTTTATATATGTATATACATATGTGCGTGCGTGCGTTGCCAAGCTAAGGCTACGATATAGCTACGCACCCTGATACCGTTTCGTTCTCGCTGCCTATCATCTGTCTATATCTGCGTATTGGCGTGTACTGTCAGCCGCAGTAGCTTGGCGCGACCAAGCTTCCGACTGAGTCCAGTCATCCTCCTCGTATCAGCAGAGCGCGAATGGCTGATTCGCGGCAAAGAAATCGAGAGAGAGAGAGAGGGGCAGCATTAACGAGAAAACAACTGGACGGACTCAACATTCTGGCGGTCGGTTCTGGCCCGATCTTCATATCTGTTTACGTTGTCGTTACAGAGTATTGTGTTGGTAGGCCCGTGGCTCGGCAACTCTGCTGCTTGCCGACAAGATTGCGGCCGTATTCTGCCCGCTGGTCTCAAGCGGCAAAGGCGAACAAAGTGCGGACTAACGCGTCGGCTACTCCTACTTGCACTACCAGAGCCAGCAGCTCGTATCTTATCAACGTGACGATATCGATTGGCGCCTTTACGTGATTTCTTCATTAAGCGAAAGCTAATCTGTCACATAGTGAGTTATCGGTTGATCTGTCGTTCGGCGGCCACTTGTTCTATGTGACATACCAATGTGATCAGTGATAATGCCCCAGTCAGCTTCAACGAATTCTATAGCGGTTCGGATCGTTATAGTATTCATCGCACTTATGATGACCACTCTGATGACAGGTGAAGTCGCAGCTGTACAGGGCGAAAGTGTAGAAGAGGAAGACGAACAGTTCGGTAAGTACACTTGTCTTCTCCTAATCCTTTGCGTCTGAGAAAAGGACAGTGTATAGACATGACTGTTGAGGTCTGAAATTGATAAGTTGTCTTGTTTTACAAACAAACGTTACCTCGTAGCATCGAGTTCAACTTACTTCACTGCGAGTAACGCGATGCTACGTGACGATCGTTTTCATTCTTACAAAACAATATTATTATTTTCGCTAACAACGACTAATATAAGTCTTATGAGACAATGATTAAGATTATATAATGAATATATATATATATATATCTATGATTCTTACTATTATGGGAAAGAGCGCCTTGATTAAAACCATATCTGGTATATAATGAGTGAGCAGCTAAGTACATACATTATTGGATAAATCAACTGATCATCCAACAATGTCTTGTACTTCGGAACATTTCGTCGTACATGAACAAGTTCTGTTGTCACTTTCAGACTTGCTAATTATATTTCAAGTTATATAATAGACAACAAAAAAAAATGTATAAGCAACATTAATTTTCAACGAGTTCTCTCTTTGGCATAGAATTGTATTTGTTATTTGTTTCTTATGCATCCTACGAAATAGTATCTTTTAGACCGCTGCGTTTATTAGCTACAAGCTAAGGTCTATGACTTTCCTCTGAAGTCTTTCTTTAGTAGCTACCTCAGAACGAGATTGCACTGAATTGAAGCGACAGGGCGCAATGGAACTGAGGATCTTTAAAATGAAATAGATCATTTTTAAATGTTTTCTTGCAGAAATTCTTCTCATACTCTACCTTTTACTGAAAATGTACAAGTGTATACTTCTACAAAATAACATATAAATATTAGCTAAGAAAAAACGAATGTTTGCCCATTTACCATTTGCCCTATGCGATTTTTACTCGAAGGGTAAGCGGGCAAAGGTTACCTTCTTTTTGTCCTAAAATCCTATGGTATACGTATTCTGCCAGCAGGTCGTGTCGTCTTAAAAAGTAGGTACGAAACATTCAGGTGCCTATATATATGTCGAAAACGTCATTTCGTTGAATATCTCCTTTATGTGCTTGGAGGACAAGTAGATTCATGGGTTTAAATGCATGTTTTACGGAACACTTCGTACTCCAGCTTCGAAGAAACAGGCCAATGATTCTGACAGGTGAAATGATTAATGCTGAACTCACACAGGTTGAGCGCATCAAAGCCATTTTTTTTAGCAAGAAAAACCAAAGTGGTCACGTAAGAAGCGGCGATCGCTTCTCCATTTTCCCAGTGTTTACTTCCATTGAATCTCTGCCTCTGTCCTTGATGTTTTTTTTTTTTCTCTTTCATCGGTAATGAATGGACAAGGCTTTTAGGCGATGAAACACCGTAAAAAATACGCCTTATCATTCTTCTATATTCTCGGAATATTTTTCTATATGCATCTGGACGTATTGTTGCTTTCGATTTGTAGGGAACCGATTAGCATAGATGACGACGGATCGAGTTATTCGGGTGGTACCCTGACGTTACTCCATCAAAATGAATTCCAATTGAGAAATGGATCCCTTAAAAGCTCTACAAGAGTCTTGTTCTTTAAAGACAGTCGAATCGTAAAATACTTAGGTATTTCGTTGCCGTTGTGGGTAGCGGTTTTTGGTATACTATACAATCTGTTGGTGAAATATCAGATAAGTCCGACAAGGCCCAACCCGACCGGACCTTCTAGTCGAGGCAAATGCAATGCCGTGGCTTGATGTGCAAAAGAATGTACGTTCGCTTTGATACTGTCTTTGATACTTGAAAAAAAAAAAAAAACGTGTTATTAGTACGAAAAAATTTGCACCAAGATTAGTGCAGAATACGGCAATTGCAATGAGTCGACTGTGTGGACGCCAATATATGAACTACACGACGTTTCTAAATTTACAACGCTCCCATTACTGAAACAACTAAATAATGTAGAAAGTATTTTAATGCTTTAACTTAATATGCTACGCAGTGCGACAAACTCGAACATAATAACTTACTAATAGGCAATGTTTTATACTTATGAAACTAAGTGGCTTCGTTCTCCAAGCACTCGCAGTTACTGTGACGATATCAAAAAAAAACAGTTCTCACAAGTTACCCAAAATCGGACGCGATTTCGAATGCTAGTATTACATACAAAATAGCGTAGAACTTTTTTTTACTAGCCTTTCTAATCCTTTCAACTGACTTTATTTCTTTAGTCTATTTGGAGAACTGTACGGAAACATCACAGCCCGTTGTGAACGTTTTTCTGCACAAAGATCGCCCAAACAACATCTACAGGGTCAACCTCTTCGAAAAGTTTCCGGAGAAACAAGTGCCGCGATGTCGAACCAGCGTCTATGCACAGGTCGTTGAATTCTACGAAGCATGGCATAAAAGAAGACTGACACCGCACCTCAGAAACTACAAGGTTATGGCGACTCTCGAAGATATCAATATGCCTCTGCAATGTGATAAAGTATACAGCCTGGTGAGTTGAAATCCACCACTCGTTCGAGGGTTAGTTTCAGTGCAAGTCTTGGTTGTACTCTCGGGCGATGCTTTCTAGATTATGATCTTATGAGAACCGTTAAAGTATTGCTTGTAAAGGTAAAGCTTGGGATAAAGTTGCGGTTACAACGAAAAGTCTACGGTTCACTCATAACAATACTTTCAGGTCTAAACTACGCCAGTAGAAACAATCAGTCTAATTGGAATACATTAACTGGAGAAGCAACTTTCTATAACAACAAAAAAAAAAAAAAAAAAGTAGACGACATTTATTCGACTAGGAAAAGATCCGATAGGTGCACAAGGAAGACGGACTAAATCCCGATATCTGCCTATTTATCCTATATTTCGTTATTTTTTGGGATGAGGACCTTCCTCATAGTTAATTTTCTAAGATTGCGTCCAAAACAAAACTATATTTCACCGAACTTTTGCGCATACGTAAAGTGATATCTTTGACGTTTGTCACGTTTATTCAGTATGGCTACCACCCACCATTAGGTATTACCGCTTTAATTCCGAATCCGAAACGGTACACCGAATTATTTCGAACTGACTCGCAAATGGGCGAGTGATATCGAGATAACATTGGACTGTCGTTCGATGCGTAGTACTCTAGCGGATCGAAATCCGGGCTGTACTGCAGATCCTCAAGTGATTAACCCTGCGTTAACCGACTGGTGTTAAAAGGTGTAAAATTTTTTTTACACAGCAGCTTGTGCAACGACGTGCAAGTGAACTTCGTTGGTAATACGTTCCCCTTTTTTGGTGGCATGACGTCGTCTTCACTACACGAAGCGCTAAGAACATCAACATTGGCCGGAAGATTGCTTGCAATCTTGCACAATGCAGACGTATCGTTAGCAAGGCAGTGATAATGTTAGCGCTTGATTTTTCCACCGAGAATAAGGACGCTCTGATTCTAGCAAAATCAAAGACTACCTGTAGTTTTGTTCTTAAGAAACGAGCTAGACAAACGAAGACTTTGATTCTGTTGCACTCATATGGCATATATCTAACTTTTTTTTATCATATAATGTGTCTCTTTGTGGATAATCTGTGATACGGCTGCCGTACTTGTATGAAGCTTCTTCGGCGTGACTGAAACTAAACGATCGTCAGAACTGCACTTTTAAACGGCATCGATGGACTCTCAAGTTTACACTGGTTATTTGTCTGTCGTGCATCATTTGCTGCGGTATTCTGCCACCGCATATTGATTTGCGATGTCTTATATGGGTCATTTGACGTAACCAAAAAACGTATAGTCTCGGCGTGGGTTCATCCACCTCAAAGAGTTTGGATAAAAGCTATTCTGCAGTTCGACTCACTAATGATACATTTTTTGCTATTTTTTTTTTTACCTTCCGTGAAACGAGTATTCATCCATTTGCATTAGTTTTGAGTTAACGCATCTTTGAAGCCAGACAGAATTGTCTTAGAAATGTTCTCTGTTACTTTGGCCACTTAATATACAGTCGTTGGCGATCTAAATAAAAACCATCCAGAAATTTCACAGACTGTCGAGTTTAATCAAAGATAGCTTCGCACTCCAATTAAATATCTGCGTGTGGTCTCTTTCATGTGAACACTGCCTCCCTCTGCTTTCTAATACGGTTCTGTCGCAAGTATGCTGCCGAAACTGCTATAGAAGAAAAAGCATTCACTGAGTCAGTATTTTGGCCCTTTACCCCCTAGTGCTCCCAACGCACTTTCACCCAATCACCGTCATGCCTGCATTTTGGGCCCACACTTAGAGCACTGAGTTCTTGGGTCCTGAGTCGTTCGTCATTTCTTGTCTAGCCCTCTTAGCATATTCTTAGCATTAGGCCACACATTTTCGATCGGATTCATGTCACGTGAATTTCCAGGCCACGACAAAATACTATACTCACGGCTCAACACGATAAGCGGTGAACATTCCAAAGGCCCACTTTCCCCTATAGCAAGCTGGCTTTCCATACACGAAAACGTACTTCTCATCCGGGAGCCATTACTGTTTCTGGGGCAGCATTGTCTAAATTATGTTTTACCATAATTCCACTGATGGAACGTGGAGCTTATGCGTTATGGAAAGAAAGCACGACCCACGTTATTCTTTCGCTTGAATTCTTGACCTGGTGGATTATACAGGACTCATGAGTTCGTTCCCTAAAGCATTGAGCGTTACTACGTAAATACGATTCATCTAAGAACGAACCCTATCCCACTTTGGAAGTGTTCATTTTATTTGAAACACACACGTTTGTGTGAAGAGTTCAGCCGAAATTTTTAGGTGGTTTATGATACTGTTTGCTTTTATATAGCATCGGAGAGTGCTTATGTATACAGTGACTCTGTACTGTGTTACCTTTTAATGCAGATGAGAAATTACTACGAATTGATCTTTTTTTTTTTAGTGCGTTTAAAATGGCCCTATCTCTTCGTGATATTGCGCACCGGTTTCAATTTTATTAATGACAAGGGCATCTTTATCTTCACGGTCGCCTTGTTTGTATGAGTTTAGCTGTTGCTGTTCTTCCGTGAGGTCTTCTTGCAATCGCTCATTCGTATGTAATTGCAAAAATATTCAACTTTTCACAAAAATTCACTTTAACATAACCTATGATTGCAGCACTGCCATTAACGTCGAACAGACGGAAGTAACCATAGTTGCTATATTACATCTCAAATAATTTGTGTCTTCCCTAGGCTGACAGATGTTGTCATGGATGGCCATTGCACGACACCTCTTTATGAGTACGTTCTTTTTCAAAGTTGTTTAAAAGTGCCCGTCTAACAGCGGTGCCGTTACATGGACTATCATTGCAAAGCAGAGGGAGGCAGCTTTCCCATAAGCACGTAGATACTGCACGTAAGTACAGAAATGTTTTTGATACAACTTGACAATGTGTGAAATTCCTAAGTGGCCGTATTTTATTGGCGAACGATTGTATATAGTACGTTACGTACGGATTGGCGCGCCCAAATTGGAGAGAGTGTCGTCACAACGGACATGCATTCATTCACCACTGGTGACAAAAACAGAATAGGGAACTCAGCGAACAGCAGGGCGTTGTTTTTGAAATATAACCAATGATCAGCTATCATCTATTCTCTTTCCACTAAACAAACCCCCCACTAGCGTTAAAAACTTTTTATATTGCCCCAAATCGATGACCTATGCTACTGCCGGTTCTCATGCGGCTTTGGAACGTTTATATCTGAAGAGCTTGGAAATTTATCACGACGGCTCGGAACGTCATTTCTTACTGAAAAAAATGAATGGCCATTTTAGAAGAAAGACTGTCAATTGCCGATTGAGTCCTCCAGATGAGGCGCAACGTTTAATCGTTTTGAAACCTTTTTCGCCTTGCCGGCCAAAACTTAGTTATGTTGGGATTTCTTGTATATTGCGTATTTAAGCAGCACTTGTTAAAGTCTGCCAATGTCGCCCGAGGCCTTACACGTTAATTGTGATTTTAAGAAGGAATATTCTGAAAACGACTAGTTAGTGCTTTAGGTGCCGAATTGAAGCCGCATTCAAGTTAGTTATTACCTTACTTTAAATATCTCATTTTTAATTAAAACAACAAAGCTTGAAAAAATGTTTAACCGTCTCGACAAAGGCTCTAACGATTTGTATAGCTTTCTTAAACCTAGACTTGTGGCGGGAAATTATCAAAACTGTCCCCTTCATATTGATTTCTGGTTTCAATTCTTGAGCTGAGCATTTACGTGCGTGTTTTCAAAGTAAAGCTCACTTTTATTTCGAAATAGCTGGATAATCGCAAGGAAATAGCGGGTCAGCGTTAACACAATGATGGCCTAATTACAATGTAGACACGAAGTAATTAGGACAAGATAACAGGATGCATCCTACGAAGTTACACGATGAGCCGTACAAGGTAGTAGAATGCAGGTGGGACCCTTACTCACTAAACCCTGCCGTGTATGTTTGAACATTGGTTCGGAATTTGTTTCGATATTACTTCACCCACCCCAAAACTTGCTGGCGTGGCTAATAGATCTGCTAATTCATGGAACACGTCCTGGTCCATCTTTCCTATTGGATTTACTGCTTCGATAGCCGCGCTGAGTTCCGCAAGATCTTATGTTCCACTCTTTCTACGCGCCCCACCGTGTAAGAGCATTCCGTGAATTATCGCTTAGCTGCTCATCAAATTCCATTCTTCAGGTCCTCCTAGGCCAGCTAGATTTCCCGTCGTTTCCCCCGTTTGGTTGATCAATTGCCTCGTCCTCCTTAGATTTTACTTTCCATTTTAATCAATATATTTCTGGCCAGTAGATGACCTCGATGCCACAGTTTAACCGTGTCTTAGATGTACCGAGCAAAGTTGCGGATACCGATGCTCACAGCTACGTGAGCTTTCTTTCAGCATTCAGTTACGGATAAGCCATCAAAATGTGTTTGGCATAATCTTCGGTACCGCTGTTACGGTAGGCGAAGGTGCGTTATTTATTCAGTGAAAATCCTAATGTAAAAATTTCCTATATAAATTGTCTTGCCCCGTTGAAAATTGAGTCATGTAGATAGCCACTTTCGATCCAGTCAGCGATTGGTTGTTGGAACGAGTACCTTGATCTTTACCACGCAATATTGACTTTTACTCCGGTTGCTAACGCCGACAATTACGGTTACATCGCTTAGTTCTTTATGCTATAAGTAGAATTTTCCTACTTCTATATATACGCTACGTTCTTCGTGCGTCAATGTTAAAGTCGCAAGAAATTGTTCTTGCTAATGTAGAAGAGTTTATGGTTCTATACGCTTAGACGTAACGGAGTGTAGTAAATACGTTGGAGTTTATAACGGTAGTATCTTTTGGGTACCATTACCACGTTACGTGCCGACGTCAGAGTCGACGTTAACAAAACTGGAGCCTTAAATGGGGTAATGGGGGCCTTAAATGGGAATATTTCGGTCACAATAACTGAATAACTAGAACAAAGTAACGGATTTACTAAAGTGACATGGTTAAATTCGCAAAAGGGGCTTAAAGGATAAACACTGCAAAGTAACGTAATGACTTGAACAATAATGTGGTACGTTAATTAAAAAAACGCTGCCGGGACGTCTACAATACGAAAATTGCTGTTGGATAGCAACAACAACAACAACAACAACAACAACAATGACATGAAAAAACAATGAATATACTTGGAGAGTTAGTATAGATACGTAAGGTCAGACAGAGCGGGTTAGCTATGTTTTGGGTCGTTTTATCCGAATCATTAATGTCTGAGTAGTGTTCCATGTGTCCGCATGCATAATATGCATCGCGTGCGAAGAAGGGATATATGAACGGATGAATATTATCGATAAAAAAATCGATGCATTCCGTCCATTTGTTTGTTACAAAACGCAATTCGACGTAAATAGGACTGTATATACATAATAATAATGATTTCCAACCTGTGCAGGTGTCGGACGCCCAAAAAAATCATACAACGCTGTGCCAAACTCTTGACAATCAGATTTACAATTACCGGTTCATCCTCTTCTATAGGAGAGATAACCTTACTCTTCTTAGAGACTACTTCATTGATCTCAGCTTAGCGGTCGCTTATCTTCCGCCCAAAGGTGAGTTTAACTTCAAGATATATGACTAATAGGCTGATTTGAAGAATTTTGTTTTCTACGGTATTAGAGTAAATTTGATCATTATTTGCACTTGATATACAGGTATATTTATTCGCAAGTACTTTTTATTGCTATGAAGTGATCGAAAAGAAAAAGGAAAACAATAATTTGTACACCTCCGCCAAATGTAATGAATAATTTATTAAGTGAGATAAATTTCCTCCTTGAGTAGAGAAGGCCATGTAGTCTCTCTCCACGCTCTTTCAATAAATACTACTGCTAGTTGTATTTACTAAAAATAAATCAAACTAACTTTGTTAATTGAATTGTACATATGAGTAGCGACTGATGCCTATGCCATGCCGAGCATGTCTCTTGAACAAACGCGGCAAAAGTTTTTCAAGCTAGCCAGTATAAAACACCTATTGGATTTAATAGAACCTACTTTTTTGTGCTAAGCAAATTACTCGACTAATTCTACCTAATTGCAACCGATAGCTACCCCTAGTGAATGAACGGAAATTCTTTCTTATCACTTTGAAATGTCCGTTCTTGTACCTCTTTGAAGACAGCGATAGAGTATAGCCCTCAAATTGCCAACCAATCTTCATCGACAGTTCGGTCTATAAAACTTTCAAAAAACATATTCTAGATCAAGCGAGGAGACCACCTCTCGGGCTTTAACGTCCATCCACAGTACTTCAACGGAAAACGTAGCATTTCATTAGCCATAACGAAACCTTTCGACAACCTTGAGCAAGTAATGAGCATTCGATATTTTCTTAGCTATTCTGCCGCGTTTAGACGTAAAGCGTTTGATTTCATAATAATAATAATAATAATAATAGGTGAAGGATTTTATTCGCAAATTTAGAGCAGAAGCTTTCAAATCGATCCGAGCTGTACAACAAGACTTCCAGATGGCTATCTTGATTTAAATGCACTTTATAAGCAGACGATATCGATTTTCTATAAATGAAGCCTAAATGTGTCAGCCACGCTGAGAACTGTTCTAAAGATGTTTATGATTTTTGTATATGACCTTGCTCCGATAAGAAAACACTATGATGAAAAGGAAATATCTGGTAAAAATCAATTCTGTGCGAAAAGATGTGTGACATAGTTCCTCAAAAAAAGTAGCCTTTTAGGAATTTTTTTTTTGTAAATAACGGTTGCGAACTCATCAACCGTCTCAATATAACAATCTCTAACAGTTAGCACGAAATTGGACTTCTAATTTTTTATAAGGTTACTATTTTTCGCTCTCAGCCATTAGGCTCTTTTTCCAGGTAACGATTGAAAATTTTAGAGAGATACCCATGTTTTTGCATTTCCCGTTTAATCTCTCGATGAGCTTATGGTCATTTTTAACGTTAGATAGCGGCATAAGCGCAAGCAGGTAACAAATGAGGATACCATTGCGACGTCTTTACTGCAGTGGGGCACTGGATAATCGGAAATACCTGCTACAGGATGACTAGAACAGTATAGCACAGCGTGACGATAACTGGTTTGTCAAAGTAATTGATATCACTCACAGACTTACTGAAGAAATTTGATCGGATTGCCAAAAAACAGGCTGATCAGATGATAAGTGCGGAGGACACAGTAGGTGTTCTGAAATAAAGTAAGTGCTACGAGAAGAATGCGATCCGACGAGAAAAACGGCAACGGCAAAGTGTAAGTGGCCATAGAGTTGGGTCATAGAGCAAATGCAGCGAACTTAGGTTTAGAAGTTCGACTCAGGTCGGATACGGAAGATTATGCCTATGTCTCATACGGCCCATAAAATAGTGGGAAAAAAGGATGAATAAGTGTATGAGCCCGAATGTTGTTTATTTTACGGTGCTGCCTGATACTCAATTGATCGGATGGCAAAAAGCATCTAGTGTTGATAATGATAATCATATTAGAATAAAAACTTGTCACCATATCGATGATGGCGAAATCGATTGTTGGAAAAGCTACAAGGATAATGAATACTGCTTAAAAAATTCACAGTTTACGTTATACATTGGAAAATCGCTTATTTTTTACATTTTCTATTTCCGTTTTCGTGAACGTCTCATTATCTTACGCCACTTTTTTCACGCTATTTCCTATAGGGTAGAGCTAAATCACAAAGTGACCTATTTAGAATGCTGCAAACTACTATCATATTTTGATAATATTATGACGGACTCTGTTCAGATTAGTTGATAAGCTCCTCGTTTACCAATAGATATACAGTATCGTCCTTTGTATGGCCCGTTTAAACCAATACACGCGATAGGGATATACCGAACAGACAGTTGATGCTAATACAGGTAGTCATCGAACGAGTTGATCTGGCATCAATTATTATACTGGCCACATGGAACATTGTATAATACGGCACCGATGATTCCCAATCTGTCCAGCTCATATCTGCCAATTTACTAGTCACGACAATAACCTGCATCGGCGTTCCGCCATATTGTAGAAACACGTAGCGTTCTTGAGTTATTCACAGAAGGCTTTTTTTTTTTTTTTACCTTTATGTTAGTCAATGGCATAGTTGTGTAAATGGGCCACACAGACGATTATGTTTTCTAATTGAATTGTCGAAGTTATTTACAGTACAGTAGAGAGGAAACATTTCAAAGTATAGGTAGCGATCGCAGCGAACGAAAAAGTTATTGATAAATTTGAGTTATTTTATTAAAGCTTAGAGTTCAGCTGCTTCAAAATTAGCCTTCAGGAATACAGTATAAAAATCTCAGGTTTATTAGGTATTCAATTTAGTTCACGTATTATACAAATTAAGGTAGGCTAGTCTATATATATATATATATATATATCGTATATTCAGTTTTATACTGATAATCTAATACTGCGTACACATAAGAAAAGTACAATTGGAATTACGTTTATTAGTAAATTATTCACTGCTGGCAAGATCATCTTTGTCTTCCGGGCGCTTTCGTTTATGCCTTGTTTAAAATGAAGGATCTGCAAATTTTTTTGAGAACGACAAACGTTCTAGTCTTCACGATTAGGTGAATCATCAGCGAACAGACGCTTAATAACGACTAGACCTTTTTGATAATGTGGGTAGTAAAATCGAAACGAAGCTCTTATTCTAATATAATTGTCATACTTATACTTGTCGAACGTCCTTTAGAACGGGAACGAGCCCGTTAAGAAGTATCGGCCGCGACCTCACAGGGACTTACTGCATGGTCGCTGGAAAGCAGATTTTTTTAGATCGTATTTATGGTAGACAGAGAGTATTTGACGATATTTAAGCAAATTTTTCAAGTATTGCCTACCTAATTTGGGCAGTCGACGAGAATCGTAGACAGGGACTTTATAGCGGCGAATATTTCGATACGGTTATTGTTATGAGAGGCAAACGTACACCAACATCAAGCTCTATATTTAGTTACGTATAGATATACAGGCCAGTCTGATATCGTTAGCACGCAGTGGACGTAACGACACCGCTCTGTGAGATAAGCATAGAAAATCTAATTATCATATATACATATAAATAATATATACGTTATAGCGTAGCTACGCTCGTTCAGCAGGATGTCCTTATTCCGCGGATGATGTTCTCAAGTAGTATTTTAACATCATGATTTGCCGCACACATCTTCTCTTCGCGAGTGCGTCGACCGTACCAAAACCGAATGATGGGTCCGATTATGTCAGAGCTAAACTATTGGCTGACTACAAGGCCAAGCCATTCAGTTTCGTTCGGATGAGATGTCAGAGAAAATAATTTATGTCCGAATTTTTTTTCCCGCAATAGATTTCGGGCTGAAAAATTGGCCCTATGGTCGACAGCGCTGCATGCTGGCGAAGCTAACAGGCGAGCGAATCCGTAGCGCAACTGGGGATTGCCATTCCGGTTATGGCTTAAAAATCGCGACCTTTACCTACAAGCTTTGCCTGTTGATGCTCTCTCTAGGAATAGAGACGACGACCGGTGTTTTCACTTTCTCCGATCCGTCTCTGGAAGCAAGTGTCATGGCTTTCCGGTCATCCGAACCTCAGATCGCTCGAACTAACAGGTCGTAGATACTGATTTGTGCGGCTGTAATAGATTCCATGGTCTTTCAGACAATGGCCCGGAACAAATCGAATTCGAGCCTAAATAACAGCCCATTCGTTAGGCCATTTTTCTTAACCGTAAAAGGACAGCTCCGGTTTTATTTAGAAAAACATCAGGCCCGTTTTTAAATGTTTATACTTATATATATACAAATAGCACTTAGCACGACAATCCGCCGGGCTTTGTTTCATGTAAAGGTAAATTTGTGTGCACTTGCGTCCTCTCCAATGGGATACGTATTCAATTTGTCGCCTGCTGTCTGTCTCTTACATATAATATAATATATTATGCCTGATGGTGCCACTGTTGAGGCATTGTCTGGTCGATTCTCTCTCTGGAAGGCCGATGATGTGGCTGGTACGATATTGGTTAGGTCTATAGTGTGTGTATTTGACAAGCGCCCAATATAGCAGTCATTTACTCTTAGCTGGTTCGACTTAGCGTACTATTAGTCGTATAATACCCCTATGGGGTAGGCCATATTGTAAAGGACATATTTTTTGAAGTTCAATGTTCATTTCTAGGAATCGCTTTCCTTCGTCATGATGTGATGACTTGGAGTAACGCTTATTTGAACGTAATTATTTTAACATCGTTTATAACTTATCTCTTTGGCACCGTGAATAAGGGTTAAGCAACATGTAGGTATTATCATATATTATAGTACTATAATAGTACCTATATAATACATATAGGTATAAAAGAATTTTTCTCTATCAGGTTTTAAATTCAAAATCCGAGTACTGCTTTCCGGCCACTTCTAAAACCAAGTTGCTGTTCAAGAACTTTGTTAATGACTCTTCGATGTTATGTAGGTTTGTAGTATGACAGATACCTAATTACCGAATTAATGCAGGTGTGCCTATCTAGCTGAAGTACATGCCCGTAATGGGGACGAGTTTAACGCGTTTAATTAAAATTGAATGTGTTTTTTAGGGTTACCGACGAAGGATTATTTTATTTAAACGTTCCCATTTTTCAAATCTTGATAAATGTATTCTGTACAGTAGTTTCGTCTCCATAACCTCTGAGGGATAATTGATTGTCTGCTCTTCAAAAGTGATTTCCCTTATTCCTCTGCTATCTTTAAAGGGATTTTAACGACTTGAAATACCGGTATATGATACACACATAAACAGTGTAAAGAAGTCATTTGCATTACCATTGCTATCGTTGCTATAAGTTAGTCAATAAAAAAAAAAACAAAGGGAAACATCGAGTAGATTCTCAACTTGATCTGAATCAACCTTCGGTTTTTCTCGTAATTATCGAATCCATGGTATATATATATATATATCTGTTATACACGATGTCTATGTTTAATACAAGTTCATGATAAGTCGTTAAAACGGATTTCGTTATTCCATCCTGAGCAAAGCTTCCAAACGTTTTGTTCCGTCGTCTCTGCTACATGCATCGGAGAGATAAGCAGATCTGAACAGTAGCAAGGGTCAAACATCTGGCCAATAAATTTCAAAGGATAGGAAGAACACCGTGCTATTATGATAGAAAGAAGCGAACATATTGTGAATAAGTACCCTCTGGGGTTTTTTGTTGTGCTGCTCGGAAGATTACTACTACTACAAGTCTCGATGAATGGATAAACACTAATTACTGATTTGGTGGCTCACACCGCTTTTGCGAATACCCTATAATACTTATTAATTGTAATGACGACTAGACAAAAAGGACTCCTCTCACCGGCCAATTTACTTACCTTTTAAGCTGTTAATCATTATTGTTAAGTCATCAACATGCCAAAATAGTGTCGAATTGTGATGTTTTATAAACGTGCTATTCGACCCACCCATAAATCATGGCGAACGCCTCAAAGCAAAGGGGAAAATGGGGACCCGATAAAAAAAGACTATGTATTAAAAATCCATTCATCTCTTAAATAATAAAACAGAAGTTGTATATAGTTATATTGTTTTTATTCTTTATTAGAACTATATTATTTAGTAATGTTAATTATTCGGTTATTTATTATTTGTTCAAAAGTGGTTCACTCATTTGTGATTCTTAGATATTATAATTTTAAAAAATCAAAACCTCGAAAATTCTGTTGAGAGGACTGATGGAGTGCTCAATCTGTGCCAAAGTGGGACGAACTTTGGCTAACCCCTCGCCTTTGATATTAAAAAAAAGTCAATACTTTTTTAAATGAAAACTTCATGAAGTAGTAGGTAGAAGTTTCTACTTCGGAAGAGGAGCAAAGTTGTCCAATGTTTCTACGTGGGAGTACCGTCATCTTATACACACTTGATTTTCCGAAGCCACATGCAAACCGCTGCATGTGGCTTTGGAAAAGTATTATGAAGACTGCTACATGTTAGAGCCGGAAATTTTGACCAAAAAAAACTAGCCCAAAAGAACCATAAAAAATGTGACGATATATACCTAAAGTTGTCGTTTGTTTTATTCGAAATTTCAAGGTTAATCCTTTGAAAAGTACATGTACATACACAATGATCTCAGGCCGATATCCTATATGATAAAGCTATGAAATTTCATTATTGCAATACGCCTCAAAGCAATTTCAGTATGAAACTTGTAATCAGTCGTCTTTAATTGTTTTAAAAAGTCTTTACTGGTTATGCAAACGTCAATCAGAAAAACCACCGCGACCCACAGTTTAAAAGTGTTTCCATTTGTATCTGAGATAGATTATACATGCGAGACCGACCGCCTGAGAAATACGAAGCAATGAAGGTGGCGTCCTATAGCCGCGTCTATTAAAAAAACGAGACACTTAAGAGAGAAATATACTAGGGTACAGACTGCAGCGAAATCACAACTCAATACTGTGTTGAATGAAATGTTCGTTTCTTGACAAGAGGGAACCACCCGCACGCCAAAAATATAAAAAAAAATTAAGTTTTTACGTTAATTGCAAACGGTGACGCCGATGGCTGCTTGTTGTATAAATAAATGGGACCTCATTTTGAAACAGCTCTAGAATGATGGCGTTAGTTAAAGGCTCACCGTCATCCATTGTAATCATCAGACATTGCCCCGTCAGATTACCCTACTTTCGAAATGTTGACAACTTCCTAGTAGAAAAACATTCGAATCTCGGCATGTCAAAATTGCCCTTTTGAAACTTCATAAATTCTCATACTCTAGACTACTACTTGGGAACCCAAATTCTTGAGAATCGATTAAATATAAACTACCGCACTTTATTCTTTCATTATTTGCTTGCTAATTAATTAGATGAACGTGGTGGTCTAAGTTCGAGCCTAGGCATAAACATACCTTGTTTCATGCTGGAAGTCAGTCGTCTAAGGGAATGACGTAAAACAGCCCAAAGGTTGATAGCAATCACTTATTTCAGTAGTTAAATAAACAGCAAAGCGGGCTCGAAGTAAAGGTCGCGGTACATCCAGCCTAATTTTACTAGTGAACCTAGGTCTGCGTGTTTAGTCACACCACAGAGGTTCAGTCGGCCTAAAACACACCCTAGAAAACTCCGACTAATTTATCGTGAATCGATGGAGTTCCTTTTTGGGTCATCCTGGAGGATGAAACTTATCTTTCACTATAGAGCGTAACATTAATTTGATTAACATACCAAAACCCAACTGAAAGCGGCCTCTTTCGTTCTGTCGACAGCTAAAAACAACGATACATCGCCGACTGCTGACGGCCGTTAACATCATCCGTGTTTACCTATCGTCAAATATATAGTATATCGAAATGTTTATATATATATATATATATATATATATTACCAACGAGATTTGTCTTCTAAAGTTGGCGACCCAAATTAACTTTAGCGAGTAAAGAATGGTACCTAAATTGTGTTGAAATGAAATAATTTCGGCGAAAAAAATTCTGTTTCGTAACGGGAACGCGTAAGAAGCTGTCTTTAAAAATATTATGGAGGAAGCTATTAGGTATTTGTATTCATCAGTGTTGTTGACCGTTATTTTGGCGTTATCTCTAATATAAGTATATAAAGCTCTTTACCTACAAACAAGAAAAAGTAGCATAATTTCGTATTCAATAGCAAACCAAGTGTGGAGCGATGTCGACAGGTTGCGCTTTAATACAGAAGCACGATTCGGCAAAAATTTTATGAAACTATGGTCGAGGGTTGTCTTCGAAGAAGAGATATTTTAAAAACGGGAGACCTCTGTTCATCTCCTATTTTTCGTTTTTCTTACTAGAGCTGATAAATATTTATTCTGCTAAATCCAATAGATTTGTAACCATCCGCTTTACTAGAAGTACTTAATAAATGTGATTCATGATTTTATGTTTGTTGACGTTAAGCGTAATATCGGTTTCGTCAAACACGAATCCATTAAGTCATACTTAGCAAGCCTCTATTGTCTACGAGCGAGTTTTTACTATTAAGCCTATTTAGAGGAAATTATACTACGGTGTTTACATATGCACGACAAAGTGATATTAAAGGTAATATTGGCTTTTATTCAAACCCATTACAGATGAGGAGGACAGCACCGATCGAGGTTGTCCATCTGATGCATTTTTCCAGTGCGAAACTGACAGACTATGTATCCCTTCACGATTTTGGTGTGATCAAGTCTCACACTGTTCAGACAACAGCGACGAAGGAAACTGCGATCTGCTCAGACAAGACACTGATACCGGTTATTACCCTATTTACCTTTGCTGCTTATGGAATAACGTATCTCGTTTGCAACTAATACATTTTACTTATTTTACTAAATAATGTTATGAATCTTCTATTGTTGCCAATTGGCACATCATCTATTCTGTACTGTTTTATTGATCACACAGTTGATTTAGTTTAGCACACAAACAATTTCCTATGAAGATTGTCCATATAATTTCAAGATCGAATTTCTCACTTGTATAGTCTATCTGCTCCACTTGAAATGTCTTGTCAATAAGGAGAACGATTTCTTGGCTATTTCATTATTGCAGCGTAGACTTTGTCTTGATATACTACCGTATTTTTAATTAACGTCTCGTTCCATTGGCCACAAAAGGAAAAATCAATTACATTCGGCTTCACGTTTTTCTCACGCGTTTCAGACGCATCCACTGAGGGGTCAACTGTCTACTCAAGTTCCCATTTAGCAGTTCCCACCGTTAACATAACGACAATGAGTATTTCAAAGGAATCGGAAAGGACATCAGCAGAGGTCAATCATAAAGATGACACTGACGACAACGTAAATGACACCTCTTCAACAGAAGGTGTCTCGGTATCGACTCAGACTGAAATAGCGATTGAGACAACAGAAACAATCATCTACGAGACAACGGCACTTAATACCTTCCTGCAACGGGAAGTGACAACGGTACTAGAAGATAATACCGATAATTCGCTGTGGCAAAAAGGCTCAACAACAACCACGCCTATCACAATAGAAGCTATTGCGAATGTGCTGCCTACTACAACAGAAAGGCAAAGTCTATTCACGTTCGAAAATGCTATGACTTATGAGAAACCCATACATGGAAGAGATGCCCCGCGCTACATCTCGATTGCACCATCATCATTGGACAGTTATGAGGAATATGATAGTGAACCTGTTGCCACTGCGCCCACTGCTACTACCCCTGCTACGCCATGGGCAGCTTCTGCTAGCTCAAGTAGCCGGGCAACGAGTTTAAGTAGCACCGTCGCGCCCCATGGTTCCAGTGCTTTACATACGAGCTCCACTCGCGGCAACATAATCAACACTGCAAAAATTGATAATTATCCAGAAAATTATGTTCCATACCACCTGAAGCCTCGGAGCGATTCGCACGCCGATATTATTCTTTCAACCAAAGGAGCTAAATCGACTACAGCTAAACCGAATCCAGCACCGTATCCTTTCGGACCACGAAGCGACCGCCTAGATTCTCGGAACTCTTCTTCTCATTCACAAACAGCTTCGATCGTAATATTGGCAGTCGGCGTTAGACTTGCACTCGGCGTTCAATGCTACCTACGATAAACCCCATGGCCAGCTTCATAGTTAGTTTGTGTTAGCAAGGTCGCCTCGGCCAAAGATACGACATCGTTCAAATCACGAACTAAAGAACTACCGTAGTTAAAGGGAGCAAGTTACATAGCCGTGTTAACGCTCTGTGTATTCTTCTAATTCTAGTGTTACGTCTTAAGCAAAGCTTGTTTTTTGTTTTGTCTTTTAAAAAAACTCTAACATAAGACTTTTTTCTGTTTCAAATATATTATGTATTTACTAAATTATTATTAGTGTTAGAAAGCATTGTTGTGTAAAATTCATGAAAGCCAAAAATAGGTGTATATCTTATGACCCGTATTGAGTAACCGACAGAAAGAAGCAATCCCAACGCAGAAAACCAAACAACACACGAGTCAGCTACGTGACAAAACTTAAGTCTACGCCCAAAATCAGACCCCTCTTCTCCCCGCGAATCTCAGCCGTAAATTGTGACTCAAAAGTTTGCCTGAACAATGCTCATAGAACCTATGCCTGCCTGTGTTGCAAGATAAGCACCGTTACTTAGACAATCCCAGTTAAAGCAATCGTCTTTTCGATACTAATATGACCATTGTCAAAGCCGAAAAATAAACGTACGATTTACATATTTAAACCGTGCAAGTTTTTTTTGTCTGTTTTACTAAGCACGGTTTGTACGATTGCTAATGCCCCCTGTTACCGAAATAACATGTCAGACCTAATTCTCACCAATGAAATAGAATGTTTTTCCTTTTTGGAGAAAATCTATGTTGTCTATATTTTTGCATTTGCTTCCGTGCTCCGGATAGAAGATCTCGGGCATTCTGGAAACAGGGTACGGTTCAAAGTATACATTCGGTAGAAAAAGGCAACGAAAAAGGTACAGGTCATCTTTAGCTGGCATGTGTTGAAACTGCTTAAGAAACAAGAGCTGCTCGCTCTCTCAAAGCAAAGCGTCGCCCCGCTCCACTCAGACGTTGACACACGAACGGATCTGTCGTAACGCCGTCCTGCGTTCTTCTCTCGGCATATAACATCGACTGTGGGTTTTTTTCGCCATAACGTATGTTCCTGCAGGCTCGATGACTTTCCGTACCCATGGGCCCATCATTAATATCATTATTGGTAATAATATTCAACTTGGTTTGTTTATATCTGTTGATGCACACTCAGCGTTCCTTGATCCCTCCTATTTGTATGTATCTGCATGCTTATAGGCAACTCTTGACGATTCGGCCTGTACATTTACATCTTGTCTCGCTAAATGCGCTCGTATTTGTTTACTCGGCGCTGATCGTCGGAACCGCTTTGGCCTTCGAGCTTTTATACTGAATGCGCGGTCGTAATTGTTTGAATTCGCGTCGAGCAAGCTACAGACAACGCTACTAAAGACTGTTGATGTCCCACAACCCGATCTCCCAGTTGTTCTCATAAGTAGCCTGACCATATGTTAAACGAGTGATTCTACCAAGCATTTCGTTGGGTATTCTTTCGGTCAAGAGGCCATGGGTGAAAGGTGAGTCGTGAACGAGATATGAGCGCAACGCTAAGCAACTTCCGTTGCTAATGTTAACATATACTCATTTAAGGTTACAGACAACGTTAACGAAGACCCAGTTCGGAAATGTGGCTTACCGTAAACTTAAGGGAAAAGCTTTTTTAGAAATCAGAAAGGTCCTACTATACGAACCAAGCGAACTATTTGGAGTAACCTAGGCTAAGAATACTTGTCCGTAGAGGGATATCCTAGAAATTTAAAAAAGTCAGCTTTTTAAGAAGCAAATGAATTGCATAAACATAATTTGTTCACTTTCACACACACTGAAACTGCCAAGAATCCTTGGCCATGAGCAGGTCAATAAAAAAAATATATGATACATAATTGGATACTTTTAATAACAGCTCGAAATAGATTATAGTAGCTGATATTTTTGAAAGGAAAAAAAATATAATGTCCGAATAAACCGCATAGCCTAGGCACAGAAAGGCGAACACTTAAAGGTAACATTGCGTTCTTCGTGTAGAGAGCAGTGGAATAGTTCTATTGAAATTTAACGGAAGACCAAGAAGTTGTTCTTACAGTCTTGTTACATCTGAAAATACCCGATATCCTAGTGATAGGCATATTATACACGTTATAGAATTGAAAAAAAATAATTACTTAATCCTTTCAGCAACACATAAACGCTAGTCAAGTTTATTTCAACGAAAGTACTTTCCTAAATAGCGCCATGGCCTCAGCCACAGTACAATACTTAACAAAGGAATAGACTAGATCATCAGTCTATACTTCATCGTGCTTTTTCTATGTAGTAGACGTAGACGTTCTACTAAGTTGTGGATTTCTTCTTGCGTATTTTCTACGGAAGTACACTGCCGTACTTTCGCCAGTCAGATTAAATGTTTCGAGGTTCTTTTCTTATACGTAAGCCATTTGACGACGCTTCAAACGACCGGCATCCAGCACAAAACAAAATATGGCTATGCCCGGCTTCGAACCTAGACCACCACGGGCCCCTAAGTTACATAAGCAAACATGTTATCACCTCACTATACTGTACTTACGGCACTTCAAACTACACATCTGCATGTGTAATATGTAATAATAATAGTAATAATATTAATGCCACATATAATACCAAAGTATAAAGTTAGCTCCGGTAACAACTTGATAAATTAGTAAAAACAATTGTCATTTTTTGGCGAGTAACTATTAAAGATAATCTAATTGCGAAAGTTCTATGATTAGTTAAGAATTCCAAGCTGACCATAATTATAAGTTTCTAATACTTAAACAAAGACATAGCGTGAAATAGACAATTTGCTAGTCATTCAATGCAATGTTAGATAAACGCATATTAGGTTTATGTACGTACGACGTATTTTGTGCTAATTATCAACGTATTCTACAAATGTATTTTTGGACTAGTTGCTTTAAAATTTTCTACGTGCGATAAGGACCTCTGATAAAAACAAGTGCAATACGTATTTTTGTCATTTTGCAATGTGATGTTGGGTGCACCACGCTCCAATAGTCTTTGTCTGTATGTACGTACTAAACGTCTAGTTTAAGCTTCTCACAGACCAACTTCTTAGAAAGGTGCACGATATATTTCAAGTATTCTATGCCGTTTCAAACAGCACTGCCAGACTATCAGAAGAAATATCATTTGTCATTTAATGTCATAGACATAATAGCAATATATCTGGTATGAATGATGTATGCAAAGGAAACAACAGCGCAAATATTTTTGGGCTTTATAAAAATAATTCCTATGAAGTAATAACCACGTAAAGTCTGTCTTGAAGTCGAGAGACGTCGCTCTGATGAGATGATAAATGCTAATGATTATGCGGAGTGCATTGAAGCTCCTCAACCTTATTCCCACTCCGTTCAGGAGTTAAATATCAACAGGGAATCCTATCTCGTAAGTACGCTAAGAGGTGCTGTGTTCCCTTAGCTAATACTGCTGGCCTAGGATTTCTAAACAAATTACCTTCTAATTGCAAACTTTTTAATTGACGTAGATTGCCAAGTTCCGGTGGTATCAGCGCAATAGAGTTATTGCGTAAATCGAGTGTTGTCAGTTGTTCGAGCTGTGAAAGTTTGTGGACATCAATTGTTCCAATCAGGTTTTCCGATGCAATCAATACCTCGAATTGATTCCAGCTGTAGATGCAATCAGGTAACTTAGAAAAGCGGTTCTGGCTGATATTAAGTTCACGAATAAGCTTCAGTGAGCCCAGTTCAGCTGGAAGATCTTGGAGTTGATTGCTCTGCAAATTTAGGTATTGGAGATATTGCGCTTTTCCTAAAAACTCAGGCACCTTTGTAAGTTTGTTAAAGCTGAAGTCCACTTCCAACAGCTGATCAACTAGTCTTTCAAGGGTATCGGGAACGACAAGAAAACTATTCTTGCTCATGACAAGCTGATTGACCTTGTCTTCACAAGCTAGGTCTACCACCTTGTCATCTAGGCTGTTCAAACCCTTATTTGAAAAGTCCAGTGTGCGTGACGATTTGAGTGTGAAGCGATCAACTGAGTCTAATAGGTCTTCGCCATCCCCACCGAGAGATGCCCGGAGCTTGTCTTGCATTGGAGTCTCCTGGAGGCGGTCACGAAGGTACTTCATAAGATGAACGGTACCACGCCGAAGGATATCTTGCCTGGCAATAGATAAATACCCAATTAGAATATTTCTGTTATTTTACAAACCACCTAACAACGAACAAGGCTACATTCGGAAAGCATAATGTTAGTACGACAGCCATGTAAATACGCAGCCACCCGATAAAATGGAGAGGATATAATCCGTATAGATTGGTTTACTCTTTAGATTTTTTGGTTAGAACTGTTAGAAACGTGGCAACTACATTTAACTCACCTGATGGATCGTAGCGGGTTACCCTCTACAAGTAAGGAGTTCATATGATTGAGAGCGCCGATGGAGTACGGCAAACTCCTCAAGTCATTGTTGCTGAGGTCAAGTCGTTCGAGGCCTTGAATGTTAGTGATCGCCTCAGGAACGGATTGCAACTTGTTCCCTCGTAAATCTAAAATCTGGAATCAGCAAAGCTTCCTAGTAAGACCAATGATAAAACTGCGTGACGAATTTTGTCCTTATATAAATAATACCCACGAGAATTTCTTCATTTATAGAGGAAGATCGTAATGATAAAACTTTTGCCAGTTGATAGGAAAATTGCGACCGGGTGAATTAGTTAAAGAGAATAACCTTGAGTACGACGAACGTTTCACAGTGCTCGGGCGTGAACTCCTCAATGGCGTTGAAGCTCGCGCTGAGCTCCTTGAGATGATTTTCGCGCACAAATTGTGGTAAAGAAGTCAACTTATTCTGACGAATGATCAGCTGTTCTAAATGACTACAACGACCCAAGCCTTCAGGTAACTCGGTAAGCATATTATTCGATACATCCAGACAGCGTAACTGAATAAGAGAATCCATATCAGGTGGAAGGCTTTCAATTTTGTTGTTAGACAAGTCTATCTGAAATTGAAAAAGTTGCACAGTAAAAGTGTAGAAAAAGCAAATTAAAGTGTTTCCACAGGCTAGAGATGCACTGTATACTTGAAACCTCTATCCAATGCGAATTATTTAATTTCGTGTCATCCCAATTTGGTTACTTCAGCTTAAAAAAAAGCGGACTATTTTAAGTAATTGGTTCATGTTGGTGCTCTTTGAAGTTGGGGGTTCGTAAGAGGCTAGATACATAAGCAACATTCGTTTGCTCAGATTCATTTGAAAAGAATCGACTAAATTAGACGTAACACATTACGTAATGTCCTACAAGGGAGCACAGAAGTATTCGAAAACATTTTTATTTTTAGCAATAAGTATCAATGATTTAGGACAAACTCGTGTTCTACCAATACGCTTCAACACCTGTGACCGAGAACTAGAAAGCTAGTATACAGAAACTAAACTTCTTTTAGCCAATCTATTCAAAATAATTATTTAGCAAATCATAGAAGCAAATTACTCGTTTAGTTTTTGATAGAAACGTGAACGACTCCGGTAAGCCTTTAAGTTTGTTATGGCTAAGGTCGAGCTCGTCAAGAGAGATAAGACCATTTACGTTGTCGCTGACTGATACGATTGAGTTGTGTTGAAGTTGAAGAACCTGAAATACATTCAAAGTTCAAACTAATTGTTAGTAATTAACGCAAAGAAAGGTATCGTGACCGTTTTTTAGTGATAATGATTATAAAAGGTCAAAATAGAATAGTTTCTGGTGACATTTATCATCCGACAGACGTACTTTGAGGTCCTTGAAATGGCAAATACAATCCGGCAGTTCAGTCATTTTGTTCCGACTCAAATTGAGTCTTACAAGATTTGAAAGCGCTTCCATTTGTTTGGGTAGGGTCATGATTACATTATCCTGTAGTTCAAGGACAGTGAGGTGCTCCAGTTGGCCAATCTCCGCAGGAAGTGTTATTAATTGATTGGACGCTGAAAACAATAGAATTATCATTATTCCAATATTTTGATTTTGCTGTACATAAATTATATAAAAGCACGCGAATCTAATGGACGTCAGGACAATTATCAAAAAGCCTTTGATATATATATATATAGTGATGGATTCAACTGATTAAACAGAGTAATAAGTTATTATAGAGACCAAGCGGCTCTCTCGGTCGACCTGTGTGCTAGCATCTGCCCAATACATGTACAAGATCCGTCCACTTTTTACCAATGAATATATATACTAATCAATTTACACACTTTTTACACGTTTTTTTTTCACATAATCCGTATCTCACATACAAATTCGGATCGAAATCAGAGATCATCTGTGTACCCTAAACCCGAACTTATATCAGGACGTTATGATACTACCGTGTTCTAGTTATCCTGTCTCTCATTCTGTGTCACTTGCTCTGTGCAGCCATCGAACTTCAGCCGTCACTATGCTTCCGCTAATGCGTTGCGCTCTCGCAGTTATTCTGGCAACCCGAGGCAAGACTGATCCCAACCGTAAGGGCTTCACAGAAAGATTCCGGTCGAGAAACAATGCCCGCAAACGGGTACCGGAACTCATCGAATTTGTCAACTTTAAATTTTTTTTTTGCAAAAAATAAGAGGCGGATCTGTTTTAAAAATGCAATTTCTCTAATCAAATGTGCGTGTTGAAAGTAGCCTTTGTATTGCACATGTAGATCCCACCGTGGTACTTATCCACCAAAGCTAAACGCAAACACCGCAAAAACATTTAGAATAATTTTGTATCTAAATTTATGTATCTATACATTAGCCCTTTCTGTACCTGTGAGTATTTTATTTTTATTTTCGGTATTGCCGTACTAATATATAATGTATATAACTAATTTACATATCTTATATGGCTTCCAGCGACATGAAGTGTATCTACGCTGAGCTTTACATTACACATTCATCATCATGGGGACACCATTTGTATTTATACCTAACATATATATATATACATATCTATATATACATATATATATATATATATATATCAAATGGGAAAGAATTTACTTTGAGTGTAAGGGATACTAATATCTGTCAAACCGAAACAAATAGAAATTGAACCTAGCAAATAGATTTCTTAATAATATTAAACAACGGAACTTTTGGATTACTTGGATATGTATAAGCTGTAAGTCTTGAAAAGTTACAACGGTTTTAAACTGAAAGATACGCACCAAGAAAAAGTTTAGACAACGGCTGCTGATCCCACCATGCCTCGGTGGCACTTCGTTCCAGACTTACATCGATTGCCCGGATCTCTTGTTCTGTTAGGAAATTTAAATTACAGATCATCTGAAAATTAATGGCAAAGCCAGAACGTTATTAACAATTATTATCCTTTAAAACCACTTGAACTGTGCTTTTATCACTGTTTGATTACGTGGCGTCATTACGGTTATGCAAGTATATAGGTATAGGATCGAGTCGCTCGGGTACCACACACGGGTTGTCACAAAACAAGTCCTAAGGGGCTCGTGGGTCTTAACTTTATTGCGAATAAAAGAATTGGCTGTAATCTAAATATAGTAGCCTGTTAAGTTGGTGCTATAAAGGACAGAATTTAGATTCTATTGTGTATTAGTACCAAGAGCTCAGTCCAGCTTACTTTGTGCCCCTTACAATCGTCTATGCAATGTGATTTTGAGTCATAGTCATGTTGAAAACTCTGCCTTCGATCTTTCATTCTGAGATAATTTTTCTGAACAGACCGGTGAAATTTCAGTTAAGCCCCGGCCTTGGAGGTTAAGCTGGCCACTTTTTCGCGCCAATTGAATCACTGCGGCGCTGATGTCCTCGGGGTTCTTCAACGGCTCTCCATCGTTAGCTGGAGTCGAGGCCAGCTTTCGAATAAGCGGTCGGCGAAACGGAACACGAGACATAACCTATAACTGAAACATCATTTCCGTTATTCCTAGAAGGAACGGAATAATTTGTTTGCTTTACGATAATACATAAGCAAGTAGGTAGATTTTACCTATAAAATGACAAGCTTCAACTGTAAACTTCAATAATACTTAATACTGTTTTGGTCAAATGCAGTCTTCATCAGTAGATCAGTATCAGTGCAGATAGGAGGAATATACAATTAACAAAAACGGTGGATAATGGCTCATGCCTGTATAACGTATTTCATTGTTTATTAGTAACTCGTGCTACAATTAAACGACTTCACTCTTATGATAAAAAGTAATTAATTTTCGGTATTCTTTTGAAATGTCAATGCACCTTCAAAGGAAAAATGAGACAAAAGTTTACCTTGATTTTTGATGTTCAAATTTGACATACTCTACTAAAAAAAATGAGTAATCACTAAAATGACTGTCAAGATCATGGATGTAAATAACATTTCTTTTTTTTTAGTTATAAATCCTTTTCAGTCGTACTATTATATCAATGTCATATTGTATTTATACTTAATTATATAGTATACGCATATTAATGTTGTATCGGATACAAATTTCGACAAAGCACATATAAAGGGAAACTGTCTTTAAAGGGAAATTTATTAGTAACTTGGCCATCTTAACTGACGGCCTTTATTAATATATGCAGATAAAATAGCTAGAAAAAAGACTTGATTTAAAAAAAGGCTTTTTGTTTCTACAGATGGAATGAAAAGCCATCCGAAAAAAACTTACGGTTAGAATTAACACCTTAAAAATTGTAAACTTCGCTTGCGATTCCAAAAACCTTGTAAAACATCTATAAAATTCGACACCTTTACGCAGGTCACTCGTTCAATAAGAAACAACCAGTCACTGAGTAGCCTCTCAAGGGACCAGTGGCTCACCGTCAATCGATTTGAATCTGGACCTTAAACATTGAAAACTCAGCTGAAACTCCGCGCCAAACTAGATCCTGTGCGTCTAGTTGCAACACTTCTACTATTATTTGAAAAAAAATCTGTAAATTAGTTGAATATGCCTAATTTATATCATTAAACATTTATATGCTTGATAAACATGTTGAACGTTACCTCGGTATAAACTAGACATCCGTCAAGTGCAAATCATTCCGCCAAAATGACAGAGACTCCAAGATGGCAGCGCCCAGTAGAACTGTTCCAGGGGTAAGCATTTTGAAAAAATCAACATATTAACATTTATGTTTATTGGAGAACAATGATTCAAATTGTTTGATTCACACTTAGATAATTCAATCATTATAAAATAGGTTTGGCTTGACAGAACTGCTCCTAAAAGCTACAATAATATTTTATCCGTTATTTGATTAGTTCTTTCTAGTATATACATGCATTCGTAAAAGGGGCTATTTATACATTAAACATTTTATTGTTGGTAAATAGTTGTGTTCAGACGTACTAATTAATCACTCATATATATTATTTATCACAGTGTGAACGAGGTGAAGCTTTCTGGTAGCAACTCCTGTTCGCGCTATTGTCGTAAATTAGGCCACTGGCTGCGAAGATAACTTAGTCTACAACATGGAGCTTTTTCCGATAATGTTACGAGCCGTAATCTGTGCGATCCAAGCGAATAAGAAAGCGGAAAGAAAACTAAATTGACCAAATCGACAGAAGTCACTTTCAGGCAATGTTTTGAGGAACTGTAAACCGATCATGCGACACTATCATCGTAGATTTTTTTAGTCTGGGTTCACTGTTATTACGTTTTCTATACAGGCGCCTTTCGCTTCTCTCAGAAATTCATCCATATTATAAACCACTACTTTTATCATTTTTGAGTTAACATTGCTTTAACTCTACCTTTCTAGCGCGATGTTCTACAACATTTAGTTAGTTTTATCATGAGTCTGCGTTGTCTATTGCAGTGTACCAAAATGTATCCTTTATTGATTTCATTACTAAAACATAAATCCTAAAGGACGACAGTTGCGTCAAGTTAGAATATATATATAAGATTATTCCGCACGTCTTGTTTACGTAGCTTTAGCAGTGGCCAATAAGGACCAGAATATATCTGCCGATATCGACCTACAAGGTTGTCGATCAGCGAGTCTCGTTGCAGGGTAAAGAGTCGTTATTCTCCGGGTATTGTTGCTGGCTGTGATTGGTTGTTGAGAGGCGCGAATGAAGGTCAATTCTAGTTCGGCCGCCTATACCCCTTTTCTCCACGGTCGAGGAACGCATACGGCATAGATTTGTTTCTAATAGATCATCTGAATAACAGGCTCCGCTATGCACGCTATTTTTGAATTTCTTGAATGACCAACTCTTTGGATATACCTGTTTGGCTAAATCGTCCAACGGACCGCTTCTTATAATATGTCTGCGGTTATGAGCGACTGGGCAACTTTGCAAGAGTAAAATACGTTAATGCTTGATAATACTAGATGCTAAAAATACGATAGATTCGACTATTATCCACCACTCACAGTCAGGCTCTGTACGCTTTCGCCTTTGCTGGACGGAAGAAAGGGACGGCCAAAAACAGCTCCTGATGCCCATGCCTTACAGGGTTTACAGTGACGATGCAGCTTTCTTATTAGAATTAGAGATGCAGTGTAATAGGTGTGGCATCGAACGAACGGACGAATTGACCGAACGTCAGCTGTAGTAATAATCAGTCCGCAGTGAGGAGGGACGGTAGTAATAGACGGTATTGATTCTATAATTGTGTACTGGATGACCGCGTGGACGACGATGTTTGGACAGACTAAAAGAGCAGCTTTCGTTCAGGAGATGCTACAGGGTATTCGGTGTAGGTGGTTTTATTGACAGAATAAACCCGGTAAATAATGAAATAATAATAACAAAATTAAACTAATGCTGGTATGAGACACTCTCGTTTTCTGTGAAGGACCATCACAGCATAATTAATAGGAATGTATGGTTAATCATGGGTTAAGGATCCAAGCTCTGACTATTGCGATCTGTCTTAACTAGTCAAGACAGTGATTTTGTTATAAGCATTTCACTGATACTGCCAACCATATTAAATCAGGTTAGGCGTACATATTACGCCTATCGTAGGATACAACTATCTAAAAGCCTCCAAGCTATTTTCAAAAGCACACACAATTCTGATGCCTGGTCGTTATGATCAAACAATTCTATCTACAATCAAGTTCTGTTTATTTTCAATAGACTATGTAAAACGGAACTCTGCACTATACGTTTTAGGCTTCCAGGCAAAACGGACGGAAACGTAGAAAAAGTACCAAGCACAAGCTTTTTTCCCTCAACATCTACGTCGATCGCAGAAATATTAACAATATCAAGAATGTCATGCGTTTCTACGTGATAGCATTACTGGAGTTATATTAACTTTACGTGATTAGAAACTATGTATTTGATATATAGTATGTATACTTCTCTAAATATTCTAACAGCTTGCCCTTGAGAGAAAACATTAAAAAAAAAACAAAAATGAGAAAAGATAGTTAACGCGTTACCCAAAGGAGCCAAATTTTCACACTAAATAAGCAAGTGGCAATATTTAACATCGCTCAGGAGAACTCATTTGAGCGAATCAATGTACTCTCTTTAGAAAAGCCAAGGCGTAGATTTACATCCCTGCCAAATGTCCTCTGTGAACGATGCTGTTATGGGTCTCCAGTACTGCCAATGGCAGCCCCGTTAGTCTAAAGCAGGGTGCCTCACGTTACTTTGTTTCTTGACTTCAAGATAGATATTAAATTAGACCATGTACACTACTATAATTGATAAGCAAAAAAAAAAAAACAAATTTTTCGATAACATACAATTTCGTTTATTAGAGCCTATTATCCGAAACCTTTTATCACTAAATGCTTATTTGGTTAACATTATAATAAATATAATTTTATTAAGGAAATGAACGAATCTTAGACGAACCCGAAGGTAGTGATTGGACGCAGTTCAAGTAGGTCACCTTTTTGGGTTTAAATTTTAAACAGCTCTGCTTTTTTTTCATAGGACCCATCACTTCCAGAGTTCAAAGATTTTACCACCGCGACGGAGTGGGAGAAATTTACAGCAACGCTCGAACAGCTAATCGAGGAATGGAGGCTACCAAACGTCGTCTCGACGGGCCCCATGGAAAGCGTTAGTATTTAATCCTTTCGGCATTGCATTATATTCACGAAGCTGTTAAATGAGCCGTAATTTTGCTCTGAACTGCGAACCTTTTCTTGATGGGATACAATAGAGGGAAACAGTTTGTGAGAGAAACATTTTTATATCAGTTATTGGACATAATCTATATACCATTTGCTTTTACCGTATGTCACGATTTTTACGTCATTTGGCACCAATACCTGAAAACCTAAAACTCCAAGTGAACTTTCTGTTATTCTAGGGTTCGCTCACAACTGGCGAATGGAAGAGTCGTTCAGATATGATTTCGTTTGCCGCATATCGAATGATCATCACACGGCACTATCTTGAGGGGTCGACGAAAGAACGGTCCGAGAAGGACCAGGCTCAAGAAGTATTCGAAGAGTCGGAAGAATGTAAGTATATCGAGAGCAGTGAGATTAAAAAGAATTGTAATTATACCTATCCATCTACCGATACAAAAACGTGCTAAAAGTTATCTTGCTTGCTAGAAGAGTAAGCTCTTCCCATATTTCAGATCAAGGCGCGCTTCCGTTTACAATGGATGACTTGCTCAGCTTCACGAATGATTTTCCTGCGAAAGCCCACTACCTTGTTAGATGGTTAGTAACTTCAGGTGTGAAACTGTCCGCCAGCTGCATAACCAGATAATCATGACGTGCATCTCTACTCGTAGATAATAAAGAACCTATATGAATGTAGGTTTTTCGAGCCGTAAGTTTAAACTGTCCTAAAATTACGTCGGATGCCAGGCTAGATCAATCTAATTTTAATCAGTATCTCCGTTGCTATGGGACGTGTGTGATCATTTTTTAGCCCAAAATACTAAGAAGACAAGGCTTGTTTTTTCTGATAAAACCCGACCAACCAATATTATTATATAATATGTACAACTTAACCAAATTAACAATCTGTAACTTACTGTATACGCAGGTATGGGCTTCGAGACTTCCTATTGGTGACCCCAGATATGGGCGATGATACGATTTCAAGCGTTGATAGACAGAAACTGCTTTTGGGTTCGATATGCACCGCCCTTCGAAACACTAACTGTCAGTTACCCATATTCGTACAAATGCACCACCCAAGAGAGAAGATTGCGTGTGGAGTTATGTGTGCTCAGGGTTTCCACTGTTATTTCAACATGGTCAAACTTGTTCACACACCAAAAGGGTGTGACACCTTAAATGGACTGCTTTCTCTATTTAAAAACAAGCTTGTAAGTAAACAGACGGAAATGTTATTATCTCTTAATCAGTTAGCTCTACTCTTGCTACTATTTTATTACCGAATATTATTAAATATCCCTGAGAATATATATATATACAGGGTGTCTCATCTATGATAGGAGAAACCTTGGCGTGCTATTTGTCATGACACACACCCTCTAATCTTGGTATTGAAGCAGGCCAGTTCTTCTAAAAATCAAACTCATCATGGTGGAAAATACTGCGTTGTGTTCGCAATTTGAGGGAAAATCATCTACTGTCTTATCTGTTTTTGCTAGACGAACCCTCATCAAAACTAAGATTTTTTTTGTTTAAAATCGATAGCCTACGGTAGCGGTAGTTCTCATGCAACTTCTGAAAACTCCAAGCTACATTTTCATAAGTAAAGCCGCAAGGTTCTGGGGAAGTTGCTCAAAATGGCTTAAAAGCCACCTACATTTTTGACAGAGAAATTAATTTGAAAAAGGACACCATTTGCCAGTTGCGTTGTTCAGATGAGCTCCCGGGTTTAGTTTTTTAAGACTTGTGTACCTTTCCATTTTTGAGACTTTTGCCCTGCTATTAGCCATGCTAGAATGTATGTAGCATAAGAGCCGTTTATCATGAATCATGAATGAGCCGTTTGTCGTGAATGATGATTACCTTGAATGAAAATGACACAGCTGGCACATCAAACAAGTTTGTTGAAGTGTCTGCTTTTGTTTAAAACTAGCCTTAGAAAGAGCTCACAAGGGAAATCCCCACCGTAGATGGGCCACTCTGCTGCGTACTGTTATTATGAAATCGCCAGTGAATTTGAAATATATTGTATTCATGGTAAGGCCAACTAAAAATATATCTATTAAATTTTAAGTGTTATTATTATTCAGCGACTATGCCAGTAATGCTACCGAATAAATTAATTTTATTTTAAATTTTTGATTGAGTTTAAATTGACTCCATGCTTTTGCTGGTAAAACTCGCAAAGAATCGCGAGCTTTATCGATAGGTTTTCGGTATTACCGATTTGTTTCCAGTGTAACAGCAGTCTATACACACATCTCCCGGTGGATGTCAGCATTCGGTTCACTTATGTTCTAAATGATTGGACTTTTTTTGATGAGGGGTCTATTCGACCCGATCAACTAAACATCGATCAAGTAATGAAATTTGGAGATCTGCCGCTTGGGTCAGCAGAAGAACCCATTTCTGAATTTCGCCTTATGGTCAGTACCCATATCCACATCAATATTTCCTTAAAAATGATATGCCATTAAAAAATCTTACTAGCATAATTATGAACTCCTAATATACCATAATAAAAAGCCTGTTCTAGACAAAGGTCCTCATCGTTTGCTTATCGTTCCTCATGGATAGGTGTCGTGGCCTCAGCTCGCAGAGGACGTGGTCAACGACAGCATCGCCCATTCAGACCTAGTGCCTGCAAATGCACCGGAATGGTGTGTCACAGTCAAATATGTCAGCGAGCCATGTTGCTACCTTGGTGAGTTTCTTTTTTGCCCAAAAAAGAAACATGCATAGGGTTTATATTGTAACTCCGCGAAGTCATCATTAGAACAGATGTACAGGATTCTTATTGGATGCTGCATTCCATCGTATAAACCGAACTTAGAGGAAGTAACCGGCATTTTGAACTATTGCCATATACGTACAAGGATAACTAGCACACATTTATTATTAATAAAGATGTCTTATGTGAACATGAAAATTGAACTGCAGAAAATTATTTGGGAGAATTTGAGGCTGTACTTTCGAAAAAGGAGAGTCTTGATCTTGTGCTCAGAGCTATTATAAGGGACGAAATTGATCCAGGACTTGCAAACGTTATGGATCGCCTTGCTGAACCGAAGGTAAGCATCGGCGTTCGACTAAACCGGTGGAAGTGTTTTAAATGGTAGAGATTTAACAATCGAAACCCGTGTATAGATATGAAAATTTTTCAAAGCTAAAATATAAATTTAAAAAATAAAAAATTTAATTTAATAAAAAGACACGCCTGTCAACGACTAAGTCCAAATTCGTTATTTCAGGTCAGGGTCCCGGATCTGGCAGCTACTATTATTCCCGGGGACAATAAGGAGAAAAAACGTCGCTTAGCTGATGACGAGACGATTATAAAATTTATGAATTACATCTTTATTCCGCCTGTTGAGGATGATGTACGTATATGTTATGCTAGGGGTGAAGTACTTTGGGGATTTGACACACGCTGCCAAGATATATATATACGATATTAGCTTACAACCAGATTCTATTTTTCTCATTCTAAATAAGTTCTTCTGTGACTGACGCCAGACAGAAGTACATGAGCGCCTCTTTGAATTAGCGAAAAATAGAAGGAGACTTATAAATACAGATTTGCTCATTACCGATGCCCTATTTTAAATTAGTTAGTAATAAGCACTAGCGATAGCTAGTAGTATCCAATGTGGGGTATAAATATAATTTCCTTAAAAGCTTCACTATAATGGCGCACCTATGTATAAATAAGTATGCTATTTGTCTATTATTTTATGATTGTTCGTGCAACGCACAAACGACTTTCTATGGGAATAGGTCATTGCCACACGGCTTTTTAGTTGTAACATTTGGTGAGGTATTGTTGTGAGATCTAGTATATGCCTTGATCGTGTCGTATACTGCTTTTCTCAAGTATGGAAGCTGCTTGTTGATACGTTCGAACGTCTATTTACTAATAACATTGAATCTATCAGGAATTGGTAAGGTGTTTGGTTTCCTTCCAGAAACACTTAAGATAGCGCATTTTACGTGTGTACTTCGAACTTTGTCAAGCCCTTCAAACTTAAAGGTTATTTCCCGGATCACTCCTGTGGCGCAAGAGTGATCCAGGGAAACGTGCAGACTTGTATTCCTTCTCCCCTGTTCATGTTGTTATTGTTATTAGTTACATTTCTATATATTATTATTCTCTTTGTTTTTGAAATGTCGTTTATCTCCACCACGGCAAAAATTGCTCCATCGATTCTACAGAGCCTTTATCGTGACACAGAAATCCATACATCTAATCACCTTCCTTTTCAGCTTTGAATTAAATGACACCATGGGTGCATTACTAATTACTAGCTATCTTTTTATTTTCACTTGTGTTAGACTTCGATGTGGTCTTCGAATAAGGGTCACATCGAGTTCGGAGACCTTCGTACCGCATTCCGCTCACAATCAGCAAAAAAACGTTCAGAAGCCGAAGAGATCGCTAGGCTCAAACAAAGACTCACGTGCCTCAAGACCACGTCACGGAACTCATTCGTATGGAGGCTTTCACTTGCTTTGGCGGAAGCGTATCACACTTGTGGGGGCATCGAAGGCCTCGCGCAGTTTTGGGTTAAAATTGTAGCAGAACTAAGACATCACTTCGAACGTGGCTATGTCATCGCAAGGTGTGTCATATTCAGATGCTATCTTCTGAACATACGATTTTGTTGTGAAGCCTACTTTAGTGAATAGGACAAACATGGTTACCTAAATATATACTGTGATCACCATTATTTCAGTACGACATCAGCATGAAGTATAATACGCACGGACAGCGCATTATAAGTAGTCACACTAAAACTTACGTTTTACACCCATAGAGGAAGTCTCAAAAATTGAGCCCTATCTTTGGAAGGTGATAGAAAATTTTGGAAATGGCCGTGGGGCACCGATATTCATTTTACTTCTAAAATGACGAATCTCGTGAAAAAGGTGACTTGGTAGATATAACTTAAGAAACTACGTAATTGTGTAAAAATATTACTTTAATTGAAAGTATGCATGCAAAAAAGTCCGCTCTTTCCTTAAATTCCCATAGAAGTTACTAATAGAAGTAAATCAAATAGTGACGATTTTGAGCTCGTTACGCTTGACCTTTCGGTCTAAATACTTAGTTTTTTGTCCTAACTGGAAAGTCTACTCTGCTTGTGTATTTAGTATTAATTGAACGCAACAGAATTAGCCGTAATCGACGTATGATGTCAACGAATGAAGAATGATACGTGTTTTCGATGATATCGGATATTCCCAGCCATTAAAGGCTAGCTCAGTGAAAGGTATTCTTACTAACAGAAATTCAGGAAAGCGAAATGGGTTTCATAGTCTAAACTTTTTTTTGTCTTTGTAGAGAAAACACAGCTTGTTAGATTGGGCAATCGCAGAAGACAATCTTTTCTAGCCTAATCAAATGATCTTCAGTTTGCTCGTGTAGCCACGCGCAGTAACACAGAATGGCCATTAAAAGTTAGACTTTACAAAAATGCGCAGTATCTTCAAACGTATGATCGCTATTTTTCCGTCGGTAAGTTCGCGTTAAAATTAATTATCGCTATTTGGTGAAATTGTTATAATATCATAAGATAGCCTAGTTAAAAGATTTGGTAAGTTTCGAAGTGTACCACGATAGTCCATTGCGTTAAAGGTACATTACGTTACCACCACATCTAAGGCTTGTTTCCTTTAGTGTCTCGTCTCATAATCGGTTAAATGATAATTTCTCTACGAGGAACTGTTTTTCATTCTCTCATAAAAGGGTTTACACACATATGAACTACAACTGCTGTACACTACGCAACGCGAACTGATAGTAAAATGTCACTGCTCGGCATATAGTTGACCACAATGGATCTTTCTAGTTTATATGCGCATTTCCATGCCAATATTCGCTTCTCTTTTTCTACGTTCAAGGGTAGCTTTGCAAACCGTTCTTCTCATGATTATTCAACTGAATGCCGCAAATAAGATTGCATCTCTGTTTAAGGGATCGCTACGCTTGCAGACCACGTCCGGAAGTGATCTAAGTTTTCCCATACATCCTGGAAACCTGTTCCTCTTCGAGAAAGAGCTTAAGTGCAGAACTTAAAGGCTTGGCAAGATCCACCGCTGCCTCTTTAAGCAATAATGCTGGCAGTTATTTAAACCAGTGATTTGCTTCAAAGGACGTTTCTCGTGCTGTTACACCGTTGCTTCAGATAGACGGCAGGTAGATTATTCAATGGGCAATAAATAGTTTTGCCAAGCGTCGATACTCACGAAGCATTAATGTAGGCACCCTCCAAATGATCGCATACACCGTTTTATGTTGTTTAAGCCCTAGCTTCGTACAAAAGATAATTTTTAATCTTTTGCCTCAATTTCTTATATATATATATATATATATATATATATATATATATATATATTAAAATGAGAGAGTACCTCTTCTGAAACTTTTCTGTTCGCTAAACCTTTAGATTATGCGGGTATATATAGGTTTTCGGCCATTATAAAACGTTTTATAGAAATTTTCTTTTACGATCACGCGCGACGGATAAAATTCATTACTTAACTTATTACGAAAAGCTATTTTTCACATAACCATACATTTGTTAAAATGGTATGCCATCGTATTTATCTTTTACGCCACTTTTTTCACTTTTTACACTTTTAGCCATAAACTGCAAATGGCCATCCCGTGATCCTATAGGGAAGAAGACCTCAAGGGTTGATCTCGACTTCTAAAGCAGGCGGCATATGTTTAACGTTTTAATGACCCATATAATATTGAGCAGAAAAAACGAGTTTTTTTCTATTTTTGTTATATTCATATAACTCACATTTATTTGAACTCCAACATTGATTCTACAAATGTACACGGTGCAAGGAAACTAGTAATAAGCATCAGGACCCGACATGTTGAAAACCATCTATCTACCTAGTAAATCAGTCTGTCTCATTTTTCTCAGATTTTTCTTTTTTTAGCCTGGGAAAATATCGTTGTTTCGCATCTGTTCGAATTTGATTCAGACTCTTCTGTGTAATTTTGTCGCTATGTTCATTGAAATCGATCAGAAATCTTCGTTCCATTGCTGGGCCCACGTAGCATTCATCACTGTTTGGTATGAACGAGGGTGGAAGAAGGGCGGCTGCGACTGGGCGAAGTTCCGCGTTAAGAAAATTGAATGTCGCACACGCCTGACTCGTTGGTAAAAATTCCAATCCAAGACGATGTTGTTGGCATATTTTTTGAAGTTGTTGCATTACTACATTGCTGTTATCTCTTTCACCTAAAATAAGAAATACGTTACGGTAAATTCTCTACAAACACTATCAAAACATCAGACCCTACGACGTCACATACGAATGACGTTCTTGTGAACTCTCAAAAAAGCAATTTTAAACTTGATATTGCCAGGTGTAAAGCTCAATTTAAGCTAATGAATTTCATCGCTTGGGCATGAGCTACGTACGCATTATTTTTGTCCTGTTTCTTCTAAATACATGGTATATAATTTGGCCCACCATAGTGGCAAGCCGCAACGTATAGGTGATTCTCATACCAATTCTATTTTTTTGTTAGGCTCAGCTGATTGATTCCAACGGAACGCTTGTAGAAAGCGAAGGCTGGAGGAGAAAACAAAATATTTAGCAAGCTCATTATCCATGTTTGTCTACATCGTCTTTACCGTATCCGATGACAAGGACGTCGAGTTTGGGTTCGAGTTTCAAGAAGAGCGATAAGGAATCTTCGTTAATATCTTCCGGTCTTTGAACGTTCCATTGGAATAATGAACGTGGAAACAGCGCGATCGAACCCAGCACAAACATTTGGTTATTCAGACGAAACCCCAGCGTACTGCTCAGCAGTAGAGATAACACCATGCACAGATAGGAGCAACAATAGAAGAAAATATATTAAAGGAAATATATTTTAAGTAGGTTAAACTAAGTGGCAGTTCTTTACGATATCACCGGGCGCAAGTTGTATAAACGACAATGCTACTCGAGTGATTGAGTCCATCACATGTAATTCTCGCTTTACGACACAAAACTTCAGAAGCTTAAGGCCTGAGTAGAATTTCTTCATAATCAACCGTGTGTGATGAGATTTGAAATTGCCGTTTCTGGATAACATTATAATGACTATATACAACTATTTTTAAACCGTGGGAAACAACGCTACTTATGGTTTATACTATATTTTCTGCATGCTCTTGATTTGATATTTATTTATTCGTAGTTTTTGCTTTAAATAAATCTTCTGCAGTAATTGAATTGCATCAATTTTTTTGGCATCATACCTATAGCTATTTATAAGAAGCCGTGTTCCGCTTTGGTCTTCATTGAGGGACGTCATTGTTGTCCTGCCATCACCTTCATATGCTTCACTACCAATAGTTCTGTGTTTAGGAATCTGGTGACCAACATTTATGATCGAAGCTGACGGTAGACCTGCTTTCAGTGCTGTACGGCACTGAAAGTTCCTGCCCAATGTAGATCGAAGTAACATGTTGAGGTAACGAGGTTACTCTGAAGAAAGAAACAATCCACACATGGTTCAATGACAGCAAGCATATAATGGTCTATTCGAACAAATCTACTTTAAGTATTATTACAACTTCTGCCAGCGAATTTTTCTACGCTTGCGAAATCGATTCATCCTGTGTTGTTACCATATGGTTATTTATTTGTGCCGTTGTCTGCTAGCGTAGCACACGACATGAGCTTTTTTTACCACCTGGAGCAGACGACACAAGATAAGAGAACGAGCTCGATTTAAATGATTCTTGGTGGGAACTTATTTTTCTTTCAAAGAGTACATATGCGATTAAATAAGGAAGCTACCTTGGCTGAGATAAGTTGAAACCAATATGTTGATCTCTACAAAAGTTATGGTTACATTGTTAACACAGGTAGCTTCAACACGGCTTAAAGACACTGCTTGATTGACCAATATATTTTTGCCGATGTATGGCATCGTGGCTGTCAATACACATTTTAATAATTATTGTTGTACCCCTGTGCGGAATGTAATGATTGAAATATGACGGTACGCATAGCATACTTTATAAGGTTGAATGCCGGTAGAAAGGTGAAGATGTCGGGTCTCATTGGTATTATCTTAACGTGTGCCTCAATGCACCGTCCTTTGTAGAATTCGAATACCGTTATTAACAATAACTACAAAAAATACATCTACATACAAAAAAACAATCTACAAAAAAAGACTAGTAATCAAGGTACACACGGATTTTATTAATGCGCGGAAAATGTCCCCCTGCCGCTCATTACAATTATAATTTCTGTAACTTCTAAGTTACATGTCGTTGCTAATTTAAAGCCTAGGCATATATCATACTAATAATTTGACATATATATATATATATATATATATATATATAGTGTGCTGGTATTTTATCCTATTAATAAAACTTGTTTATTTATTTAGCGATTGCCAAAGACAGCTTTTGTTTTTTTATTGTTTTAGCATTGAGCCGGGCGCGCCAAATCTGGCGATGTGCCTGCTGCACCAGAAGATTCAAATGTTGAATTGTTGTATTGAAACAAGAAATGCGCGAGAGGGTAACGTTGACTATCGGGATCGCTCATTAATCGACAGCGATGAGGAGCAAATGTATCTAAGAGAAGGTCAACGTAACGGTGTACCGTCCCCTCATCACCCGAATCGGTATCAAACTTCGAAACTCAACAAGGTGATGCCTCATACTACAGTTCTAGCGGTGGATCATATCAGTGGATAAGATATCTTCATTGAATTCTGGCCAGTTAGTTTTCTAAATGTTTCCTAAGTAATTAGGTTTACAATAGGACAACTGTCCTTGAACATTTAGGAACATCCGCAGTTATACAATGGCCTGTACATTTTAGCTAACATAAGTGACAGACTACAGCCTATTCGTTTGTCTAACAATATCTACGAATATCGAAATGTTTCTCATTTACATTTTGTATCTCATAGGAAAACAGCGAGAGTAGCGACTCAGCTTCAGATGACGATTTCTACGAGTGTTCAGATAGTCCAACCACCACAACCACAAGTTCGGGAACAAAAGACAGCAGGGTCGATCCGACGATTCACGAAGAAGAAAACAAAATGGAACGAGAAACAAACACTGAACCTTCGAGCCCCGCTGAATTACCGACAGATGATCGATCAAGGGTAGCCGCCGATACGAATGGGAATAGAAACTCTGTCGACAATGGTCAAAATAAAGATGGCGAAGCCGAGGAGTCGTTTGGTAGGTGTTGGTGTACGACATGTTCTAGTTTACTCTATACAAAAATGAACAACTCTACAATGGAGCGCTTTACTGGTAAAAGAGATACGGTTTTTATTATAGCTTTTTTTTTTAAAAACAAACACACTTTCCAGTTTTTCTGTACATTGCTTTCTGTGACGTGCCCCTTTCTCGTATCGAACAATTCGTGAATTCCTTTGTTTTCAGTAATGGCTGCGGAGACCCTCAGTGGTGCAATACCGGAAGGCCGACTAAAGCCCTGTGGAGTGTTGCGGCTTATAGGTTCCGACGAAAGGATGTGGGTTCCTCGATGTCAGCAATCATCGCCTATGACTGAGGACATGCTACAGGAACACGCGGATGCAATTCTCAAGGTAGTGCAATTATACAAACTGATAAGATTTAGTAACAGAAGTCGGAACAGGAACTATCCAAAGGCGGGAGTTTCAGCCCACTTATTTAATTCAACATTGATATTTAAATGGGAGCGGAAAACAACAACGGCCCTTTATACTAACGTTGGATGTTTAGGCAATGTACATTTGAACAGTTCATGTCATATATCGAGAAAAAAGTAAATATATATCTTTTTGTGTATATATGTATAAGGAGTGCAGGACACTCCTTGATGACGTTGTGGAGACGTATTTGTCGACGAATCAAAGTTACAGATGATGTGATCTAAATTTAAATATAGGCGTAGGTTCACTACAAAAGAGGAATAGGAAAGGTCAGGAAATAATAATTTCCCTTTTTCTTTTCTATTCGTTAAAATTGTTCGTGTTAAGCAGCGTATCTTCAGAAACCTTTGAAGCAGTAGTGACACTCACCCATGTTGTAGAAACAACAGTTAAGAGTCAGCTATAGTAAAGCACTTATATTGGTTGATAAAACTGATAAAATTATGCGCAAGTTTAATTAGCCACATTAATTAAAAATAGATTCTTTTTGCAATAAATGATCATTTCATTTTCAAATGTTTATATATATACTTGTTTTTTGCATTGTAGTTGGCGTCAAGTCCTGAATGTGGCCGTCTAACAGCGAGATTTCAAAGCGCGTCCCTATTCAGCGATATGGAATCGTTCAAGGCTGCTAACCCCGGCTGTCGCCTGGCTGATTTTGTTCGATGGTTTTCACCCAGGTAATGTTTTTTAGTTAGCGGCAGAAAAGGACATGGCGGTAATACGACATTGAACAATGTACAACAAGATAATTAGCTATAATTTACCGTTACTTACAGGGACTGGACGGAACCTATGCGTGACGAGAACGGAGTGATAGTAAAAGAAGGCGAGCTGTCCAATCGAATGACGCTTCCAGGAAATATGTGGCAGGATCTCTGGCAACAAGCTAAACCAATACCAGCTAATCGGCAACGAAGGTGTAGATAAGGCTTGCTGTCAATCATTAACTTATGTGATATTTATAGCCACAAATTATGTACTGACCAGGGCAAGATAACAGAAAAGGACTGAATTGGGCTAGATAAACTATTGAACTTGAATTTATGTATGACCCTTTGTTAGAAGAGTGAACAGTTGTGAGTTAGTGCTCGAACCCTGCTTTCAGCTCTCAAGCTGTTCTCGACGGAGGATACGGTGATGATAAGATCAATGATCATATTTCTTTAAGTACCAATTTATCAGTCTCTGAACACTGTGAAAGATAATACTGCAGAATATATACCATCTAGTTGACGTTCAGTCTACTAGATGCTGTCTCAGGTCTATTCAGGTCAGATTCTAGTCAAAGGTGCTGTTATACTGATTTGATTTTTTCTTTTTGTTGTCGCTACGCACGTGGATGCTTGTACGTGAGTGAATGTAGACTGTTCGATGACACAAAAGAGGGGGAAAAAATTCTTCATGGATTCCTGACCATGAGCCCTTCAGATATTGCTGCCGCTGTACTGCCCTGCTTAATTCAGGCTGGCCTAGAGAAAATATGTGAAAACGGTTAGTATCTTCAATCTTACTCGTTATTGTTTATACAAATGTCTGCAAAAACTTTGCTTAATTAAACATGTAGTTTGCACAATTGTTTTTATGCATAATTTCGAGATCGTATGTCCTGTGTTGTGGATTACACGAATTACCTAATTGCCATGCTTTAGTGCATAAGGGTCCTCGTGATATGATTCCTTTCACGGAGCAACTCATTGAACAAACAAAACGAGAGCTGAGGATGAAACAGCCAAACTTTAAAGATCTTATTCGGCGAATGTATGAAGCTGAGACTGGTATCGCACGTGCGGAGAGTTTAAGGCAGAAACTCTCTAAAAAGGTATTATATCCTAGGTAATAACTAATGCACATATTAGTAGGTATCAGGTTGTGGCTGTGAGTTATTCCACGGATATTTTACATAGATCTATGATTATAAGCTTGCTCGTAATTTTTACAAAATGACACATTTTTACTCTATTCAAAGATGTATTTAGTTGTGTAGAGAGGGGAGGTCGGTTTTATACGTAATCTTTCCTTTTATTAGGAGCGAGGTAAAAAATATGAACAAATAATATTAGTTGTTTATATTGCACTGTCCAACTGGGCCCCCTTAGTGAAGGACCGCCTCATTTCATTAAAGACCTCGCTAAATGCATTAAAGATCTCTTTAAAGGAGAATATTTTGTGGATAACTATCTCCGACAGCAGTTATCGTTGGAAATGACAAGGAACAATACTTTTCGTGTAGTTGCAGCAATGGTCTTACGATTGCAAAAGTCTTAGACATATAGTTCAGTCCTAAGTATATTTCTAGTAATATCAAATTAATTTTATATTTAATGACTACTTCTAAGAGATATTAGTAATGGTCTGCTATCGTCCTCTCTCTAGGACACTTCAGAGGATGACGTCAGTGGATCGTCTCTGAAGCGTTTCCTAACATTAAAATCACAGGATTCGCCCACAGTGAGTGTGGAAGAGCTTATCTTCGATCTACTCGATAAACCTGAGGTGCAAATCGAAGGTGGTGCACGGGGCGCGGTAGGAGTTGCCATTACCAACTTATTTGAGAACTCTCGAAGGGTAATTTTTCTAGTTATTTAAAAGAACTATTGGCCTTATGAAAAAGTATTTTATAAGGCCAATAGTTCTGTAATCATTCGCTTTCAAAGTACACAAACGTGTATTTTAGTGAAAATTATATGCAATCTTTACAAATATCTTTTTTGGTATTAGGTTCCTAGGTTTTCGTAAGAGGTTTTTGATAATAGGGCATAACAAATAAGGGTTTGACCAAAATCAAAGTTAGTAAGTTGACCAAAATTATTCCAGTGACATTATTTTCAAGAATTTTTTCAACTTTATTTCGCAGGCCGTTATGGACGACCCAACATCGTCAGTATCCTCCTCCGGTGTGCGATCTAGCCGCCGTTTGCCCCCGTCACAGCAGTTCCCGACACCAATCGGAAAGGAGTTTATCCTTCGAACAAAATTTCCGCGGCCTTCGTCCTGTTCGCGTCAGGGCGCTCACCGTATCTATGCCGTGATCACTGGGAATGAGTTCAGATTAGCTGGGGCCTTCACTGAAGATATGCTATTCTTCTAAAATAGTAGTGACAATGGGAAAACTAACGACGCGCCTTTATGTTAACTAAACGAAACATATAGATACTTTTTTCTATACGTAACGACAAATATGGGCACAATGCATTCGTGGCGTTTGACGGTTCTCATTTTCGTAGCTGCAATTGCTCCTATTGTACTAAGCATCTAATGTTGTTTATTTTGACGAACGTGCCCCTAAGCGCGCCAAACACCTGCTAGAAGCCTTTTTTAAGTCACGTTAAATTATAATAACTACAAACATAAGAACTTTTTCGAAAAATTGAACTCAATTGATATTACGAGGCTTTAGCGCAGACCTCAGCTGTCCATGTACGGTAGGCAATATATATATATATATATAGATTGTTTACCGTACATGTATATATAAAAGCTAGAGTAAAAGTAATTGCATGATCTAAAAAAACTGGTCTTCATTTTTTAGTAATATCAGTAATAATAATAATAACTCATATATAGTGTCGCCACTTCTGAACCAATGAACATTATTAGGCTCTGGTAGCAATATTCTTTGTTTTTAATTTATACAATGTAAGCAGTCCCGGCGCCGTTAGAGTGTTTACAAAAAGACGAATTAGTTTTATAACGGTACGATCATTTAACTAGTAAAAAAAAGTATGGCATCATGTGTATATACACACGTATATGCATAGGCTGGTATACTTTAGAACACTTCTACCTCAAAAAAGGCTAAAAGGAAGATTAGGTCGAGGAAGAGGTTGCGGTTGAAATAGCTTTTTCAGTTGAGGGAAAGCTAAAATAATGGTGCTATAAAGTATGTGTATGCTAAGTTTAGTGAATCGTTTCCTTCTTTTGTCAAGCTTTAATAACAATATAAATTGAACAAAACAACAGTGCCTTGCAGATATTTATAAATCTCAATGCCTACATTTTACGCATCACTACGCACTAAATTGCAGAGTTAAGTCGTAACTCAAACCAGAAAACAATGATCGATTTAAAAGAAGGCTACAAAGCTTTAGATCGTCCTCGTTAGATAAATATTACTTTATTTATCTTATTCCTGCATGAACTCAATAATTATTTTTATATAGAGACATGTGAAACGTTGCCGAGAGCAGTTGGCTAGTTTTGCTAATTTGTTGTTTCAGATAGATATATGAAATGGTATAATTTGTTAATAAATGCAGATAAACAAGATGGCTATGATTACGGTATGAGTGGGCGAAGCTCATCCTCGCCAAATTTTACTATCTCTAGTTTGAGCTTCTGCGCTTTTTGCCGCATTAGGCCATTTTGTACCCAGGGCATCAGTGCGGGACTGCCTTCTGGGATACATTTCAGAAAGTCAGCAAGCGTTAAAACATCACTTAACACTGTCAGTAGATGCGGGGTAACTGGTTCATTCTTGCGAGTATACGGGCGAACAGTTTTAATGATATTTTCTGTCACGGTGGCGTAGTCGGCAGGATTAGCGGCTGACGATTTGCCCATCGGAAGCATACAAGCAAGCTTGAGAATATCTGGAGCTTCTTCTAAAATAGTCGGAAGAATGTGTGTGAATCGGATGTCTATCGGCGCACTAGAGACTACAACTGCTGCGTAAAGAAGTCCGCCAGAGCATCGCAAACAATTGCAGGGGGACGACCCCCTACAGTGAATCTCGGGAGTCGATCCGTTAAACGGATGGACTTCATAAGCCCACAGGGGGACGCTGTTTTGAAGTAGTTTACGGTGCAACTTCGTCCCTTCGATTCGGCCTAAATGTGAGCAGACGTATTGAGCGATAAGGACAGCCATTTTTGGATTTGCTTTCGCAATTTGTACACGTAATACTTTAGGACTAATATAGTTGCTTTTGGCGAGTATAACTTCAAAAATCTCTGGGTGAAGGTTTAAAAGCTTTTCGCCGAGATCAGTCAAAAGTCCTTTTTTCAATATTAGTGATATGTCGGTCTTGGCCATAATATCACTCAGTTTTTGGGCTTCGACGTTGCCATGCAGTAGGTCTTCCACTGTCATAGCCAACTGACTCTTTTCAATGTCTTCGTACAAAGCGAGCAATCTTCGGGAGCAGCTTTCACCATGAATTCGGAACTGCAGGCGAACAATATTCTTAGCTCGTTCCAGAGTCGGACCTGCTCGAGAAGTTCGAACATCATCGAAGAACTCACTCGTAGTTGGCTTCAGTAGTGAGTACACCGTCATATCACCCATCTCTCGACTGCTGAGTACTACGAGATGATCACGGGACATAAGCAGATTCTTCATGTTCATTCGATGTTGGCTCAAGCGATAGGGTACCCAGTTGCTGCTCAATCCTGGTAAAGGCAATGCGTAAGTTTCTAACGAGCCGGTTTTTAACACATGCATGAAACACTCATCGACCGCAATACTCTCCGCACGCTCAGTAAAACTCACGCTACCTCGTCCATAAGCTCCTTGTACACAGAACAACTCGCAATTTATTTGATCTGCTACGATAAGATTAACATAATCCAGCTTTCCCGTAATGGGTGCCAATGGATTTGGAATTGGTTGTTTAACGCAGCTACGATAGGCAATAAGTGACATGAAGGTTGGCTGCATTCGCTTAAGCAGTAATACTTTAGGCTGGTACACTCGATCGTTGCATAAATGTTTCACTTTGATATTCAGCCCGTAAATTGGACGATCCGGAAGATACGTTTCTTTTAGATCTTTTGGTATTTCCGACTGCATCGCCGCCTTGTCGATCTTTATGGGCGAGGCTAGTTCATCGGCATTTATAATAAGATCTTCTTGATCGAAGTTCCAAATAACCTCGTTATCGGGGGTGGGGTACTTTTCTTCATGGAGATTAACTACCAGTACATGGGTCGAAGTCTGTAGCGCTAGCACGTTCTCACATAGGGCAATATCCTTAATGCCGGTTAGATTGGTAAATTCGAACAGTGGCAAGAGATCTTCATAAACTATGACTAGATGGCCGTCTGATACAGCTAACCTTCCCGAACTGGAACACCAAGCAGCACAATCTGCTATACCTAACGCCTTAACTTTTAGATCTGGTAGCCACCACAGTTGGTAGACGTACAGGATCCGGTCTTCAATAGTGGCTACATGATTATTCACAGCGCAGTATTCGGCCCAAAGCACAACACCCTGTGTATCTAGCTCGTGTGTAACACTCCCCTGGAAATGCAAAAACACCATACAAATATATGTATACATTTGTATATATATATATATAAATTAAGGTTGAACTTCGATTATTTGACGAATATTGGGCGCCTCACAGTTTCTTCCACTTCAAAAAAAAAATTAAAAATCATTACGCATGTTAGCTAGCGACTGGGGTTACAACAATTTCCATGATTAATTCATTCTAATTTATCATATTTATTATATGCCTAATATATTCTAATTAGGTACATATGTTACCTTACTGCCAAGGTCGTGTACACTGATCGACAATTTCGTAAGGCTTGTGACCAGAAGTTTGTCCGGAGCGACAAAGACTTTATCCGTATTAACTGGAAGCGTAAAAACGTTATGCGCCGTGAAATTATAGCTATTTTCCGTGATTTCCATTTTGGTATGGTGTACGCATTCAGTAAGTACTGAATTTGCAGTATATTCAGGGATAAGCGTCCCTCCCTCGCTCATGAATAGGTACCGCGAAGTTCTCCAGGCCTGACTAGTCGTCTATGACAATAACATCATCTGGCGTGCTCCGTGTCTGGGAGGGATGCCCCGTTGATTCTGCAAGATCCGGCCTTGGCTCGCCCCGATCTAGGCGCAATCTACCGCGATTTCGCTCCGCTTTACGCAGTCCCGCCTCAATACACTTCTCGGGATTTTCTAAAAAGTTTCGCGACAGACGCCACGTACGGCCCTGTAAATCTTCTGAGATGCCGTCGCTCACGGAGTAAAGTGTTACGATGCCGGATAGTTCTACGATAGCGAGGGTTAGTGGAGAAGACGATGATATCGGCAGACAGTCACGAAGTGCCGCAAGCTCCTGGAAGGACCAATTCGCTGAACTACTCACTGGAAGGATGATCACCTATTTTCGATTAAAGACAAATCGTCGAATGTCAAGTACAATAATATTTAGTTAGTTACAATTAAAATAATATATATGCATGACAGCTGAAGAAATCTTACACTGGATGTTATTAGAGTTAGTCTAAGGGACTCGTAGTGAACTTTGCTAAATCTTCCTTATCCTTTTCTATATTGTTAGCTCTTGTCCTAGTATAGTTTGGAACATATGGAATACAGCATAGTAATTGTAAATGTTAAACGAATTTCGACCCTGGTCTGATATCGTAGACAATACTAACGTTCATTACCTCCTCGCAAACGGTGTCCTTATACGCAGTGATGAACGACTTCGAGCAAAGGGCGCACTGTTCAATTATGACCTTATACCACTTTAAAACGTAAGTTAGATATTTTTGTACAGCATCACAAAGTGCGGCGGAAGACTGACCCATGGTGACACTGCATGCTAAAATAGCTCAGCAATATTAGACAGACATTTTATTATTGACCACTCTGTTCTCTTCAAGATAAAGGGGAGATATGATTTGCTTAACTACAACTACGGTTTATGACACTGTTACGTTAAGAATAGACCCCCTAAACAGGAATTGCGAGTTCCAGTGAGGTATCAAAACAGTGCCTTGCATCCGACGTTTTATAATCAGTTTGCCAAAAAACGCGTTTTCAATAAAGTGCCGATTGCTTTTAACAGGTTTATACAACAAAAAAAATCACAACTGTACCGATAAGATAAACATAAGGGTTTGTATTTTTTTTTTTTTTGAGAAAATACAAATAGTGCTTACGAAACAGGCCAGCACGAATCGAATTTTACATGGTTAAGATTTTTCGAAACCAAGAGAAAAAATGTAATGATTTTTAGTCACAATATATGCCCTGTTCTTTTTCAGCAGGACGAAGTAGGTTAATTTCGATATTTGATGCAGTCCCCGGTCTACCTACCTCGCAATGTAGACGATTCGTAAATGTTTGAATATTTCAAACGTGCCTTACAGAAATTACACTATCCCCAAATATCACAGAATTAACTGAATTTCAATGAAATGTTTGCACTCTTTCAAGAAGAAGAAGAAGAACTGAGGAGTGCACATTGACGTAGAGTACATCTTGTTGATCGTGAACAGGAAACAGACATTCGATTTTCTCAGGGATGGCGGGGGTCAACAAGTGATCTTGCCTGTGCCTACAGAGAGAAGGAAGCGTAAATGATTCATCCAGCTACAAATGGCGACACACATCGTTCTTCGAATACATCGCAGAAAGTAAACAAACATAATAATAATAATAATAATAACGCAAAAGGACCTTTCATGCATCGCACGATACGAAGACCGAGCAGCTGAAGTTCGACCGGACGAATTGGAATATTTTTTAGACAATTCGCAATCCTAAACAGCGTTTGTTTATATTCAGCAAAGCCATACCCACCCATAAGCGTAAGTGATCTGCTTTTCGTTCTAACACAGTTCGAAGTAAACGGAACGCTTTAGAGACTCTAGAAGTGTTTAAATCCAAAATAAATATCTGCATTTTCATTGTCGAGATACACAATTCGTAAGTAAATTCCATATGTAGCCGATAGATTTAGAATAAATACCTCTGCATAGATGTATACGTTTGGAATCGTGGATTTACAAAAAAAAATTATCTGTTATTAATAACAAATATATAACCATATATATATATATATATATATATAGTCGTGAGGCTCAGGCCGTTGGGTGCCCATACGATCATATAAATGATTGTTTTAACTATTGTTTAATTAACAGTTATCAAACTCTCTCCCATTTGAAATCAACACCCAAGTTGATTCTGTTATGATTGGAAACACTAAATAACATAGATATTGTACTTGGTTTATTGCGAAATCTGGCCTCCATCGTCAGGATTATCGCAGTAGACTTTCTGTCTTACGAATGCTCGGTTTGGTCGCAATATTTCAAGTTGAGTCTCATTAATAATTATTATTGTTGTTGTTGTTGTTGTTCGTGCTCCTTTTTGTCCCTCAGATAACCATCATGAACTCATCGGGTGCTGGTCCCTCGGCAGCTGACAACATATATTTTCCTGGGACAGTTTCGTTACTGCAGGATCTCGATAAGAAGCTGATGGTTCTCCTCCGTGATGGTCGAGTACTTATTGGAATACTAAGATCGATTGACCAATTCGCAAACCTCGTTTTGCACCGAACTATTGAGCGCATTCACGTAGGCAAGAAATATGGCGATATCCCTAGAGGTGCGTACACATCTAGCAGATGAACTTATTCGATCTATAGCACTTCTGCAAATTTACTATCAAAAAAGATGGAAAACAATTAGCTCAGAAGCTAGGGTAGAACGTTTTACTGGTGATTATTGATTGAGCGGCCATCCGTGAGGCTTCAGAACACCGTTAGAGGTTTTACGAGTCTGAAATAAGACTTTTTTCATCATGCATCGACAAGCACTTATCAGACGCTTCTGCTAAAGCTCAGCTTAAATTAGCATTTATCAGGATTATTGTTCATGATGTAAATACAATGCTGCCGTGCAAAGCTACGTCAGGCACCTGACTTTAGTTTTTTTTTTTTTTTTTTTTTTTTTTTCGAATTTTTATACGAGTGCTCGTTCGAGAACATCCCGTGTCCTGATCAACACAACTTACTATCAGTCGAAAACTGAAACTTAAAACGGGAGTCTTAATTTTTACTGTCGATGACGCACCGTAGCAATAGGTAAATTCCCTTTACGTGCAAAATTCTCAGAAAAAGTTAACTCGATGGTTTTTGTTTAGTCTAATACTTGATGTTCTAATGCGTGAAACATCTTACAAAAAATCATAAGTGTTTCCCTTTTCCGGCTGGTTTTACCAATCTGGCGGCTTTTGAAGCGTTCATAACGCTAAACGTTATTTAATGCTTCTAAGATGTATATGGCATTTATTGGGGATACTTGTTGTCTAATGTTGATGCCTTTCGGCAAACGAGGTCTAATAATGGCTATCTGATTCCTGATAATCTAAACACTTGTTTAGCTTTAGCTGTTTCGCTCAATGTAAAGTTTATATTCAATATTATTAAGTTTCTAATATGTTAAGCCATCGATTACATCATATGAATGCTTTTTTGCCAGGTGTGTTTATTGTTCGCGGCGAGAACGTAGTGTTACTGGGCGAATTCGATGAATCTCGGGAATGTATGGCTGGCTTACAAGAAGTTGGTGTCAACGAAATCCTTGAAATTCAACGAGAAGATACCCGCATAAGGCGTGAGACCGAAGATCGACGCACAAGGGCCCTCCGGGAACGTGGCCTTCTTCAGTACTCGCTCGTTGAGTCTGCCCACAATGAAGACTTTTAGGAAGAGAAAAAAAATCGTCTTGATTTAACGACGAATATATTCATTATATTGTTAGCAATTATCATTTGTTAGATTGTGTTTGAAACGCAAATTCATTAAGGACACAATGGCTATTGTCATATAATCGAGTGTTGCAGAGAATCAACGAAACGTGCGTATTTATTTATCCAGCTGCCGGCACGCCTCGACGTGTCAGATCGGCTGTATTTTTTTTGGGTATATTGTTGTAGATGATCAAAGATTGTTGATCTATGCGTTCCAATTAAACAGGCGCCTGTAACATATTGATTACAACACAATCATGAAGCTAGCTACGGATGCTGCTGCTGGTAGAATAGGCCTGTCGCTTGGAGAAACTAAGGAAAGCTTTCATTGTAAAACGGAAAGTTCAAAATAAGGTTTTGTTGGTTGTGGACTTGGGCGAATAAAGTAAGTGACAATTTGGTGCGATGACAATGTTTGTGAGAGCAAGTTCTATACCACATATAAAACTGTGGTGACAACGATGATGCTTGTAATGTTCTTCTCATTGAAGATTCGTAGTTATTTTTTAATGTAAACAAATGACCGCGTACATGCGACGTAATACAACAGCTACGATGTACATACAACTATAAATGACATTAGTTTCACTTACACATAAATAATAAGCGGAAACTAAATCAACTATAAAAGGCAATGAAATAAATAAAAAAAAAAAAAAAAAAATTAACATAAAAGGCATTGAGCAATAATGAGACGGGAAGATATTCGTGTATTATAGCCAGTATGGGCGCAAATGGAGCGGTAGGCATTTTTGAAAGACTACCCAAGAGTAGTATTCTGTAAAGAAGGAAAAAGCATTTTCCTATCTGATAAGGCATCCCTGGGAAATAGCGATACTCTGACATGTCTATTTTAGCAAAAACGAGCCTTTATCGCGAGCCAATAGTTATATCTGACCGTTATTATTTTCAAAAGTCACTATTCTTTTGAATCGGTAGTTTAACTGCTAACTTTTTTTTTTTTTTTTTTTATTATCTTTAAACCCATTTCAACTATGAGCACGACAAGTTTCCTCAATGCATTCTCAAGAAAAAAAAACATAGATCTTTAACTTGAACATTTTGTAAATCCTGTACGTCCTTTTAGGGGCCGATGGGAGCAACGCGTTTATGACAGTGTAGTGAAAACATTTTTTCTGTTGCAGCGGCAATAGGCCATGATAACGATAAAGTTATTTGAAATACTACATAGTGGCAACAATCATATATTGCTACAGCGAAAGTAAAACTTCCTTCATTCTCGTCATCCTTTGATCGCAATGTTGTTTATAACAATTATTGCAAGAGGGTGTTCCGAATCGTAAATACGAAGCAATTCAGTGAACGTTTTCGGCATACTTTCAAGTAACTTAAATTTTATCACAAATGCAGCAAAGTTTTCTGAACTATTTAAAGCTTAACTTATACTCTAAAATGACTATCCAGCGCTGAGAACGTCCTTTAAAACAACCTAGTTTCATCGTGTTTCGTCTTCATTTCGCATTTTTAATCCAAGACTGTAAGCCATGTATGTGTAGACGGCTAGTGTTTCTTTTAGTTGTCAACGAGACATGATTGGGTGGCGCGGTGACTAAAAAATTGCAAAAATAATAATGGGCCCATAGTCACTCTGCCGCATTTGAATAGTTGGTCGTCTGGCCCCAGCTCCTCTTAGCATAATAATACAAGCAGTAATTTAGCAATAATTTTGCTTGAAAAAACTGGAAATTAATTGAGCGGTAAGAGTCGCGATCTTAAAAGCGAAATTGTGCTCCTCTGTCGAGGTCATTTCAATTTATCCATCCAAGCAGACGATAGATGTCATGTTTGACGGGTCCAAAAACCTACTGGGCCAAAATTATTTTGTAAAACTTGTTTCATTCCGCTTTCAAATGCTGAACACCTTCTTCTAACTAACGCAATTTAGCCAAAATAAAGAAAATCGTTTTGGCATCAAGCTGAGTGTATTTCGATTTATAGCACTGAATGGATATGAAAAATCAAATGCATTTAAGGATTATTTATTTTTGGACACAACGAGGCTTAAGTCTGAGCCCGAAAAACGGCGATTGCCAATTAGGTTACTGCCACATCATTTCTAAGAGTACCCTCTTTATAGTTTACCGAAACACGCCTCTCAACTCGTAAATCTTCGGGCAAGAAAGTCTCTGGGTTCCCGTATCGATACAACTACCTCCTTGATTTTGAAGCAGAACACACTGTGCTTTGTGTCCACTAAAATACAGGTTTACAGAGAAAGCAAAAGCAAATTCACAGCAGGAACATGGAAAGGACACGATCGATATCTCGAATTTTTAATATCTTCTGTAAATGTAACGGTGTCATTTGTTGTCTTCTAACTTCTGAAAATTATCCGCTATTAAATCCGGATTAGCGACAAGTCAACATCTGGGCCACTTGATCAAGAGGTTGTATCCAAACGGCGTTTTAGTTTTCATCAAAGTATTTTACAATGCTTCCGCACGACCTCAAGTTGTCTCTCATTGTATATATTGGTAAACCTTTGGCACTGTTATATAAACTAACCCAGTAATAGCAGGTGTTGAAATCTGGGTGCGCGATTATAATGATTTCCTAATCGATTTAAAATGCTGAACTCAGGCGAACATGCATGCGAGTGAAATAAACTAATTACATCGGCAGCCTTCATTTTAAGTTTGTGAAAAGTACTTCGAATCATGTCCTACTACACACGTAATAATCGACTAAGGGTAAAATCTGTAAATATTATAGCTTGTTTACGCTTAATAGACAAGCAGCAGTCAATAGGTAGGGTTAAAAAGGTATAATAATGTTGTGCAGATAGGAAGGTCCATAATGGTGGCGGGTGCTAGATAGTATGTGACAAGATGGATGACAACAACGTAAGTCACAAATGAGAGAGTTCCATTGAAATTACTTGAGAATGGTATGTCTGGCGATGGTAGTGCTGGTTCTGTGTCCACCGCAGGTATGGTAACCTGCGACCGAGGCTCGTTAAGCTTCATTCGAACATGACACGACCATGACAGAGCGACTAGAATACACTTGCTCACCCATTCACTCACCCAGTTGGTCGACGTCCAGTTTCGTTCATAGCTTCGCTGTTGGTTCTCTCTCTCTGACCTATCCATTCTTTTTAAACCTCAGGGCCTTCCTCGTCAGTCCTGGCGCAGTGGTGGGGAGGTTATGCCCGCCCCGTCCCCTCATCGAGAGCTGCACTTCTTCGACTCACAGCGGTGACTGCCCGACGCAGTTTGAGCATGAGTCCGACGATGGGCGCAGGGGGCATTTAGGCGTATAGCTTGTACGTGCGTGTGTGTGTATATCGGTGTGTGTTTTTATGTGTGGCACAATAACGGACCGTCGCGGTGGCGGCTGCCGGAGAAGGTGGTCTGTTCGTGACATGATCCCCAAGTAGAGCCCTTAGAGTGCTGCCCCCAGCACAGTCAGCTCTCCAATCAGCCATTCAGGGAGATGTTGGCGGTAGCGTTCCACTCTTGTACGACCGGTCGTCTGGTCGGTCAAGCCAACCCGACCCCCAAGCGCCTTTTACTGGGAGCCTCCTTTACATCTAGCCCCTAAACGAATTCGCGTACATTGCTTAGAGTCGTCCTCTCCCAGTGATTCGATCGGCGCAGCTCCCACTACACAGGCGCGCACAGTCACCTGTCCTAGCTGTTCCCACTGTCCCGGCAAACTAACTGCCCTTCCGGCGGAGGCTATTTGAGCTATTTATTAGTTCCAGGGCGGCCGTAAACTTTGTCTCGCTGATGCTAGATTTGGCCTGTATGTGTGCCTTGAAATCGATTGGCGAAACGAGGCTTGAACGCTAACAACGAACTAAAAGAAGGAACGAGGCTTTCCCATTCTGAGCCAAATTGTTATAAAAACAGTGGAAACGGCAATAGTACCAGCGGCAGTATTTAATTTCCATTAACACAGGTGACCAAATAACATATGTCTAATAACAAGCGCCTAGCAACATATGCCCAACTAGAAATTTCTATGGCAAAAACAACAGCGAGTTAATAATGGGCACAAACATAAGTAGGTTAGGACTTGACTGTTTCATTCGCCTTAGTATGCCATATACAGAGAGCTTTGTGTTCATGGCGTACGAATATAATAGTCATGAAAATACTGTTTGGCAAGCTAAATTTCTTGTTTACGGAAGTTGTACACGGTGCGCATCATTGTATAATAAGAAGACGGACCGATCTTTTCTTCCAGGAGTCCAAAGCAAACGTAGTCTATTGTTTCTATCCGAGTGATAGCTTTGGTAAATAGAATATTATTTGGCCAAGAGATTTAATCACGCATTGCTTTGTAGTAGACAAAGCGACTGAGATGTAGGGATGCTAACCAAAATCGTGCGATCATTTGCTTGACAGGCGGATAATCCTGGTGACTTAAAATCTTCTGTTAGGTAGATGACGTTATCGCCATCTTGAGGTAATCCTGTTAATGGAATGTTATTAAATTACTCAATGTTTATGAATCTCTGTGGCGTAGTTCGGCGGAATGAATAAACAAGAATTTTCTATTCAGCACGAAAAACTAGAGTAAATAAGTATGAACAAGATATTATTGCAGAGTTTCCACCAAACGTCGCATATAAGAAAAATATCAAACGACAGATTTATAATGAACATTGTTTTTCCAAATAGTCGTTTTGTAGGCTACAAAACCAAAGGCCGTAGCAGGTATACAAGTGCCATTAGTCGAATATGAGAAGTGTATGTCGACGTCGTTGCAAGATCCAATCGAAACATTTAGAAAGTACCTCCAGAATAGGTGTTCTACATCATCGTAACGATAAGGGGCAGCAACTACGCTTATTATCGAACATGTTTGTCCACAGATCAAAATTGCCCCCCAAAGTGTTCGAGTCTTTACTATCGCGGTCGTTGTTAGTGTTATCGCTGGCTCAGCATTTTTCCCATCGGGTACAACTGGAAACAGGATGACGACGCCGATGTTGATAAAAGTCTTTATTTTCATTGAGGAGCTGCTCGTTAGTAGCTACAGCAGACTTTCATCACTTTCAAAGTTGAGTTCCTTATAGAGTATCGTCCTTTCGAACGAGTATCCATCCATTAGACTGTTGCACGGTCTTCGACTTTTGTCTTTTGCCCTTTGCTATCTTCGGAGTTCTTTCTCCAATTCTCTCGGCTGGCACTTCACTCAGCGGAGGCACCATGGAAAGTATGTACGACTGTAAGCCACCACTAATTTCCTTCGATCTTCCTTTCGGGGCTAGCCTTTGAGGTTCTGTGCTGGAGTTCCGAGGTCTAAGGTGGAGAAGTTAGGCCGCGAAAGATCAGAAGGAGAGAGATGGGTTAGCGCATGGGTCGAACTGAAGGGAATTCCAGGAGCCGTCTGACACTCTGCTGGTTATCCCAGCGGCCGGAACAGCTTCTACTAATGTACGGGGGACCTACTACTTCGTGTGTGTGTCAAATCTAGTAGTTAAACTAACGAGTACGATGAAAAGACGACTAGCAAAGCTATCCTCTTGGTTCTTGCAAGCTAGTCCGACTCGACTTCGCGAACTAGTGCTGCTTCTATCGACCTTCCCGGACTGCCTCAGCAATTGTATCTTCCTGTTCGATACGTATATACACACACGTTAGATGTACAGATAGTTGTATCCTTTTACCCTACCTTTTCTTTTCCGTTAACTAGCTCTTCAATTTACATGATGATTCTACCACATAAAGAAGTACTCCGTATGGAGGGGGCGATCTGATCGTCCCTACATCTTCCAGAGAGCATTGCTTGGAACGATTGTTGACAAATTTGGAGAATGTAAAAAATAGATTGGTTATGTAAACACCAATTAACTGTTTCTGGTAGAAATCTAATAAACTTAAAGTGTGATTAATTTTAATTTATAACACATGTAGCCCTGGTAAGTAATGCGTAAGGCAAGAAAGTCATACATATATATACAAAGATAGATACTAAGGCTTCCGGGAGATGCTAAGTGATGTAAGTCAGCAAATCAAAGCTTATGTAAATACCGTACTTTAAATGATCTCGTAGCGAAGCTATAAGAATACCATTTAGAAAACTTCGTAAACAATGTTCACTTATACTGCTTGTCTCACATATATCAGCATATAAAGCTGACAAAGCTAAACACAATGCGCAGTAGCTTTCCCTGTATAAACCTCATAAGCGACAGTTATTGAGCTATTGAACTACTCAGCCTTAGCTGGATTTGTCAAAACACCATTTTGGCAGGTATGTCTTCCTGCCCGAGGCGGTAAGCTCGACACCCTCCAGATAAAATGGGATCCACTTCTCTTCTGACCAATGCCCGGGAGCTGACCGAAAAAGCTTAGAGCAGCACATGGATTGCTCTCTGCTTTTTGCTAGGTTTCTGGCACCGTGCCTTGTCTGTATCCGCTATATGACATTCGTTCCTAAGGTGATTTTGGCACGTCGAAGTGGCCTTTAGCTCATTGCCCTTTCGGGCGGCTGTAGTAGAAGCGCGAAGTAAAATAAGCACCTGACTCTGAAACGAGAAGAGTTCGGCTTCCACATCCTCCCCATGGCATACCGTGTATGTATGTTTATATATATACATTGCATTTTAAATTGTTCTTTGCTTGGGCACTGTCTTAACACTTTATAGAGCGAAGAAAACTTCCAGTGAACGTATCCGAGTCGACTTGAGCCGTCTCTCCTGTCTCAGATATTGAAGTTTGATAGTTGCGCTTTTTACCGTCCGCCATTTTGCGAATGTTACATTGCTTATTCAAAGAGATGAATGACGGATATGCTTTTTTTTTCTCTGCTGATTATTAGATTCAGAAAAATGAAGTAGGTAGACGTTTGTTTGCACATCTAATAACCGATACTTTCCTCTTCCTGTGCAATATATTTCGTATGCATAACGAGAGTTTTTCTCTGATACATCTTTCTTATTCAAATGGCTATAGGTTTGATTAAATGGGAACGCTCGAACCAGCTGACTTTGGGCGAAAGCGCGTCCTTATAAAGAGGGATGTTAAAATCAGAACGAATTGTCGCAATCTACCGACATTTATTTGTACAGATAAACGTCCTATTTCACTTTTTTCTTTACTCGTTCTAATAGATGTTCTCCGAGTTGGTTGCCTGGTGAATATCAGACTGACAATGAACATTTCTACTTTATGCCAGTCGCGCGAAGCGGCAACAGCACACCTATAGAAGTACTAAAAGAGGTATTACGTTTTTGTGAAGACGTTCTCGTTATGTCAATCGGCTCGTTCTCGCTCTAATTCGGGCAAATATATGACTATGTATCAAATGACCCATCATATAGTGCAGCTGCACACATCAAGCCTTGATTATTCTTGAATTCGTCATTGATCAAATCATTATATGATGTTATTGTAGTGTAAAAAATATCCGGATACGAAGCTTGATCGAACTGATAGCGCCTAGAACTCAGTAACTAGGTGTAAGATTGTGTACTGGGTAGGCCGAGTTATATAAGGCCAAGAACATCTCTGACGACACACGAGGTTTTGTGTTACGATAGCAGTGAAGGTGCCTATTTAAGCAATGTTGATAATGGACAAATGAATTATAGTTACTAACCTAGATATAGGTTTACATGTTGCTATGATACGGATCTGCCGGAGTTCCTAATGGCTAGTGACATGCACGGTGACATGCAAG